TTGATTCCGGTTGGTGTTGCTGAACCTGCAAATCCCGCATCTGCTGCATGGTCAACTCTATTTCGGTTTTGAATTCAGCTCTAATTTCTTCGCGTTGTTTAGCCAACGCTTCCTGCAGCATGTGAGCCAATTGATCTGGCGTAATTGCAAATGATTCTCTGGCTTGTCCAACACTGGATGTGGTGTCGTCAGAAGCGACAGCAGAACAAGTGTCTGATAATTCTTCGTCCGAAGATAACCCCTCGTGCATTCTCTTGTAATCTCGTCGTAGGTTGGCTCTTCTTTGTAATCGCGCCATCCTTTGAGAAAGACCCTGCTCAACTCTCCCTCCCGGAGAGAAATCAGGGTCGGGGTTAACTAACTGTTTCTTTCCTTTGTTGGTCATGTTGATAGTGACCTCAGGGAATTCATCTCGTTGGATTACAGATTTTTTCTTGTTGAAACGTCTCATTTTGGGTTTTGACGCTTCATTGGACAATCTTTGAAATACGGAGACTCTTGTTGAATTATTCTTAGAGCATCCGCATTCTGTCAACACTGCTTTAATGAGTCTCTCGCAAGCGCAATGAGACTCATTTTCTCTGACAACTCTCTTTCTTGAGTTATCTTTCTGATAGTACAGCTCATCATTATTGTGATTCGAGCAACCTATCTTTCGCTTTTGAACTTTGTTAACATGCACAGGACGACTGGTCGTCGCCTCTGAGCGATCCAAAGTTGAATGTTTAAATCCACCCCCTTGCGGGTGTGGAGTTTTCAGAGGTCCTAAACGAGAGTGAACTGGTATTCTCTCGTTTTGGACTTGTGCAGTTCTGACAGGAGGGTGTTTACGACCCCCTGCATATGAAACCATTAATGGTTTATTTGCCGGACATGGTTGTTCCTTGACTGGGGCTTTGCCTCGATCATCAACTGAAGGACCAAGGCGATCTGCCATTGTTATCTTGAACTTGGACAAATCTGGGCTAACCCAGGGTTCTACTGGTGTTGCAGTAGACGGGCCCGGAACAGATGCTTGTGGCGTCTTTGGCATCCAGACTTTACGATTCTTCGGTGACTTTTCAGACACCGTTTCTTTCTTGGTTCCTTGCGCTTGTTGACGAAGAGCGCGAGTTTGGGCAGCCTTCGCCTTACGCCTTTGTATCCGTTCCTTGAGGGTTGAACGGGCCCTTTTGACGAGAGTCCACTCCTCCGTCGTAAGTTTTGCAGAAATACAATTATTTTGCCGTTGGGGCAATTGAACCGCTTTCTGTTTCCTCGACTCTAGGTCCGCATAGTAATGGACCCCGTCGGTTTGTTGCATGGCCTTAGCCAGTTGTCGAGCACGGCGCTGACGCTGTCTCTGACGAGCCCTCTTCGTCAGCACCGGCGAGCTATTCATCATCGACTCCTTAAGGGATGTGGAGTCGTTTGGAGCAGGTATGTTGCAGATGGGTTCCTTAGCAGCAATTGAGTAGGAACCTTCACCTGCGGCCTCTTTGGGCATTGCAGACTTGAACGTTTTCTTGGAAGACGAAATCTTCCTATATTTACGAGAGGAGGAAGATTTCGCGGATGAGGACGATAAATACTCCTCAAACTTCGCCTGATCGAATTCGTATTCGATCTCTTCATTGATGATGATCTTGATCGGTTGCGACACCGCGGCCTCGGCAGCGAGGCCGCTGGCTCCCACTGTGGTCGCCAGCTTGTTTGGTTCAAAAGTCGCTGCTGTGGAATTCATTATAACTTTGTTCGATTACAACAAATTCGAAAGAATAATCTTTTTATAAGACTTTTTCTACACAACAAAACAAAAATTACAACTCTTGAGAAACAAACACGAAAATCGTCTATCAATTCTCGTTTTCGTGGGACTTTGCCTGTGCCGGGAACGCTTTGGTTCGTGGACCGCCGATTCACAGATCGTGAAGAGGGGGCTTATGATTCTAACTTCGTTATCGAAGTAGAAATTGAAACGATATCTTATCGAAGTAAGATAGTCGTTCTTCTTAAAATCAAGTCGAAGCTTAATTTCAAGGCGTTGCAAGAAAAGAACTCAAATCTCTGCTCTCTCTGCTCTGGAATGCTCTAACAAATGCTCGATCCTCGTCAGAAGTGACCCTAGGGGGGTATTTATAGCCTCAAGGGTCAGTAACTGCAAAAACTTAACAATCGAAGAAGTCAGTACGGCGAGACAGTAAATTTGCTGTCTCGCTCAGCGAGACAGTAAATGCCGTCTCGAAAAAAATGGCAGTTTCTCGCTGTAACTGTTCTTCCACGTTTCAAACTCCGTTATTTTGGCAGTTATCCACGTGATTTTCGCCCATGATGTTTCCCACGTCCCTTGGCAGTTAATGGACACGTGTAGGGCAGTTACAAATGTAGTTTTGACTATTTCAATACTGTCTCGCTGGCGAGACAGCAAAGACTGTCTCGCTGGCGAGACAGCAAAGACTGTCTCGCTGGCGAGACAGTTCATACTTGTTTTGATTTTTTCAAAACAGTATGAAATCCTTTCTTGTGAATTTTTGAGTGATCTTCTCTATGCTTGGGATATCTATTAGTATTTTTTGACGCCTACAGCCCTCGCGACTCAAATGACGACTGAAGAGCAATATCAGAAGCGCCTTGAAGAACTTGAAAGGCTAGATGAGAAGCGTTTAGAAGCACAACAGCATATCGAATTCTACCAAGCCAGAATCTCTCGAGCTTTCGACAAAAAGGTTCGACAACGGAGTTTCAAAGAAGGGGATTTAGTTTTAGCTGAGAGGCGACCTATGATCCTTAACTCCAAGAAGAAAGGCAAATTTGAACCCAAATGGGAGAGGCGACCTATGATCCTTAACTCCAAGAAGAAAGGCAAATTTGAACCCAAATGGGAGGGACCATTCGTACTAGAGACAGTCTACTCGAGTGGCGCATATCGCCTAGTCACCAAGGACGGTGACCGGCTTATGATGCCGATAAACGGCAAGTTCCTAAAAAAAATATTATCCTTAGTATCTTCAGGATAAATAATGTATCGGGAAGTTCCCGAAAGAATACCACATGTGGTATTCTTAGGGATAACACAGTCACTGTAGAAGTGATGAATAAGAAATCCACGTTCGAACTCTGAATGTCGGAATGTTTCTTCTTATTATTGTCAAATTCTCTAACTCTCATGAGTTATTTTTGTGAGACGAGATTCAATCCTTTGACAGGTTAATCTTTCCTCACCAAACCATCCGCTGATCAAATTAATCGACGGTGGATTCACCAAAATTTCTATCCGCCAGTCATTGGCAATTCTCAGACTCAACATGTTAGGTCCTAATCACCTAGCATTAAAGTCCTCCTTTGAGTGATAATACGAGTTGGCATTTTCATTGCTACCTGTATACCACTCTCTTTGCTTTCAGGTCAAACCTATAAAAGTTAGGGCCAAAGCCAAATTCCTCTCTCGATTCCTTCCATGAACGAGAGGTCCACTTTCAACTCGAACAATCAAACCTATGAAAGTTAGGATTGTTCCCAATCTCACTTAGTCAAGTCTACAAATAGTTAGGACTAAGACCGAGTTATTCCTTTTTGATGAACGAAAATCTACTTTTGTTCCTTTTTCCACCAAACCTATAAAAGTTAGGGTCGAAATATGGCTTTCTCCTCAATAAATAAGGGATTCTTTTTGGATCAAATGGCCAATCCTATAAAAGTTAGGATCGTTTGAATCTTTCTGATTCTCGGAGTGGAGATCCCACTCTTAGTTTCATCTCTTCGGATTCTGGGGGTGGAGATCCCACCTTGAGTTTCCTTTCCAAACTGTAGATAGAATATAAAGTTCTTCCTCTTCAGTACTGGGAGATAGAATATAAAATTCTTCTTCTTCCATTTTCCAGTCCGTCTTTACACTGAGAAAAGACACAATCCCTAACTTCCAATCCGTGCACTTTGTGCACGAGGAATTTTATCTCAACTCCTAAATAGAGATAAGCCTACGCCTAACACGCGTTGCCGGTTTAGTCTTTCACCGATTGAAAAAGACACCAGAGTTTAAGTCTGGGGAATTTTATCCTGAAACCTAAGAAAGGATAAGTCATCGCCTAACACGCGTTGCTGGGTACCTTTTCCCATAAGAAATGGTGAAGTCTATGTATTCAAAATCATAGCACAAAGTCTAAGAGAAGTAATTCTTTTAGCGCAATGTTATATGTGAGACGGGTTTTAAAATTCACATGCTAGCCCGATTCAAACGGTAATTGGTAAAGGCACACCAAACCCGTTGAAGGCTGGAGGTTTACCAAAAATCCTAAAGTCTATGTCTAACACATATTGCCGGTTTAGTCTTTCACCGATTAAAAAAGACACCAGAGTTTAAGTCTGGGGAATTTTATCCTGAAACCTAAGAAAGGATAAGTCATCGCCTAACACGCGTTGCTGGGTACCTTTTCCCATAAGAAATGGTGAAGTCTATGTATTCAAAATCATAGCACAAAGTCTAAGAGAAGTAATTCTTTTAGCGTAACGTTATGTGTGAGACGGGTTTTAAAATTCACATGCTAGCCCGATTCAAACGGTAATTGGTAAAGGCACACCAAACCCGTTGAAGGCTGGAGGTTTGCCAAAAATCCTAAAGTCTATGTCTAACACACATTGCCGGTTTAGTCTTTCACCGATTGAAAAAAACACCAGAGTTTAAGTCTGGGGAATTTTATCCTGAAACCTAAGAAAGGATAAGTCATCGCCTAACACGCGTTGCTGGGTACTTTTTCCCATAAGAAATGGTGAAGTCTATGTATTCAAAATCATAGCATCAAGTCTAAGTGAATTAACACTCTTAGCGCAACGTTACATGTGAGACGGGTTTAAAATTTACATGCTAGCCCGATTCAAACGGTAATCGGTAAAGGCATATCAAATCCGTTGAAGGCTGAGGGTTTGCCAAAAATCCTGTAAGCATTATGTCAATTAAGTTCACAATCGAAAAAAAAAGAAATATCATAATGAAATCAAATACTGTGTCTCTATCAATAGATCAAGTCAGAGCATAAAAAAAAAGGACTCATCAGCCCGAAGGCAGTCGGCGACTAAGAACACAAGATTCTAACTTAGAAAGCCTATCCGTATAACTCTGCTCAAGTTCTGCTTGCAGGTCAGCTCGGATAGATTCTTCAGAATTGCTCAAGATCTTCGCAGCTTTATTTTTCAGCTTCATCAATCTTTCCTGCGTAGGTCCTAATCTCTCAAGCATCTGTTCGCGAGACTTCTCTAGTCCGGCCAACTCTTCTGCTATGATAACAACAGACTCCTCGGCGTGCTTCAAGGCCTTCCTCAACTTGTCTACTTCCTCATGGTGAGAGTCTAAAGAACTGAGTAACTCGGCTCTATCAGTATCCTTTCTTGCAATACCAGCCATCAGCTGTGTAACAGAATGCTCATATGACTGAAGCTTACTGCCAATGGAAGATCTCAAATCACGCCATTGTGACAACCTATGCTCCAACTGAGAGGACACAAAGGAAGAAGCTCCGCTAGCCTTTAGCTCCTCCAACTCTCGGAACTCAGACTCCAAGACAATAAAATCGGCAGTAAGAGAGTCAGCTAACTCCAAATATCCGTCATCTCGGATCATCGTCATATAGCGAGAAAGAGAACGTCTGAACTGATCAAAGCCGTATCCCTGACGAAGAACCTTCTCGATCATGCTATTAAAGAAGACGACGAAAGAGTTGAGATCCATGCGGAATACCTCTCTGCTGGGATCGGAATCAGACAAAATGGCAAGGATATGATCATACGGAGAAGGCCGAGATCCTACAAGCAATCATAGTGAAGAATAAGAGATTCTCAAATCCTAATAAAATTTAATTTAAAACGAATTGCAAGCATACCAACGCCAACGGAGGTCCCCTCGGATTGAGGTCTGACAATCGGCTCCGTTAGTCTAGTGTCAGCGGGCTCCGAGATAACAACAGAGGTGGTCATTGAGGGTATGTCAACCCCTGTAGGCAAATCAGTAGTACCTCCTGGCTGTGGCGGGGAGATACCGTTGTTATGCAAGCTATCGGTCCCAGAAACTGTAGTTGCATCAGTCATAACGGCTGGTCCTATAGTTACACTTCTTTATTAGCCAATTGGAAATTTAGACAAATAAGGAGAATCAGGATGATAGGATCGTCTGCATACCTGCAAGTCCATCATCCTCAGGCACACGGGAAACGCCAGGAGCCATAAGAGTATCAGTCCTGGTGGCTGGTCCTATGATTACACTCCTCCGTTAATAAAAAAAAAATCATCTAACAAATGAAAAGGAGCACGACGTCCTAGATTATATACGTACCTCCGGGTCCATCACCCCGAGGTAAACTAGAGATGCCGGGAATCATGACTGAACCAGTCCCAATGACTGGTACTGTAATGATAATTCTTCGTTAGTCAGACAAAAGATCAGGTAAAATGAAGGGAATTAGATATATACCTGTAGATGAATCATTCTCAAAGGATGGTCCTGCGGCTCCTCTGGTGGCCTGCTCAGCTAGCATGTCGACTAATAGTCCAATATCGGATCCTGAGAAACTTGGTGCGGAGACATATCCCTGTTCCTCAAGACCTGTATCATGAAAGGCCTCATCCTCAACTGGCCTCTCTAATACGACATCTGCAGAATAATTTAAGTGTTGGATATATACAAGAAAATGGGGAAAGAAGGAAAAGCTCAGAGATACCTGCAGTAGGAATAGAAGATTCTTTTTCCCCGATGTCCATGCTTGGATTCTTCAAGTTACCTGAAAGAGAGCAAAGCACGAAAATAATGAATCTTGAATTCCCTAACTCTTCCAAATGCTACTCGAGTAGGGCATCATCGGATCTAGATATACCTGAGCATAGAATTGTGGGCTCAACACTACTAACCTGCTCAGTATCAATGTTCGTGTCAACATCCATGGGCTCGCCGTGAATGGCATCACACATCTGCTGCATGAAGCTATCCAGACGATCAGAATCAGGGAATACAGAATCCTGTGGAAGTTCGCCCTCTTCATAGTTTCCTGGAACATAAAAGATGATTATGCTTAATGGATCCCAGGAAGCAAGTCATCTTAAAGCAATAAAGACAATAAGGTATTACCTTCCTCTCAATCGGCGATACCTCCTAACTCCACTCCATAGGGGCGCCGACCAACATGTAGTTTATGAGTGGTCTTCTTCCGTTTCAGAGTACCAACCCTCACAGAACCAACGGGCCGTTCATGCATGAACTTGCTACGCATCTCGACCTGTGCAGGAGCTTTGCCGCTAGGCCGGGATCTCGCATAGCGAGAAGCGAGCGACTCATGCTCATCGACTGTCCTACCTGGGGTGATAAGAGTCATCTTGTTAGGATAAGTGAATAAGACCTTTCGTTCTGGTTTTTGAAAAGCCAATTGAGATCGAGAAAGAATATGACGTTGATGCCAACGAAAGAAGGCCAGGTCAGTTAATTCTGAAAAGAAAGAGTCTGACAAACCTGTGTTAGGTTCTTCCTTGTCAGTATCTGTATCCACATACTCCTCCTCAGAAGTCTCGTCCTCATCGCCAGTAGGAAGGAGCTCTTCATCATCCTCCATCCTATCTCTGCTCGAGAAGGAAGGTTTGGCAGGCCTCTTCCCCTGTTTCTTAGCAAGCTCAGCCTTACGAGTAGTCATCATAGTGACGTGAACCAAGTGTTCAGCCTGCAACTCTGAAAGGCTCCTCACACCTATAAACTCATTGGCAGAAAGGAACCACTTGAAGCTGAGGAAAGTAATAAACGACTTGCGCCTAGATGAAGGAAGAGCAAAATGGGCTCTAGTACAGCCCACCATAGTCCATAGCCATGCCCGAACGCCGTCAATAAGCCCTCCCTCAACCTTCAAACCACGTCTCGGATTCCCAACATATAGTTGGTCGTAGCCAAACTGACGAGCGAAACGGCAGGGAAGGTAAGGCTCTATGTGACAATGATTCTTCATCCGAAGAACGAGATACCCAACACGGATGTTCACCAACCAACGGAAACAACCAACATCGAGAGAAGTCCGACCCGTTCTGGGTTTCTCCTCATCAATCAGCACATCACCATAGCGACCCGAAAAGCGAGGAAAACACTTGAAGAACTCCCAGCTCTTACGAACCTGAAGCTCTCGTTGTACATCACTGAATGTTTTCCCGAGCCATCTGCTCTTCTCCAACAACTGCACGAAAGGAACATGGATATCAACAGTGCTGGGCGCCGACATCAAGTCAGGACGATGAAGAACAAGCCACGCCATCAAATATGCATACGGAAGCTCGACCTTCACACAAATAAGCTCGGCTGACGGTTCAGAGCCCACCTGAGCAAAACCATCAACCAGATACCTAAGCCCATAATGGATGTCAGCAACCATTGCTGGGAGTAAGGAAAGCTCCCTCCCATAAGCTAGCTGAACTGCGGGGAAGAGCACCTCGAGGGGTAAGGCGTCTGAAAGCTGATATGGAACAACACATTTCTTCAACCAGAGGGCAAGATAACCTGCTAACAGGGTTCTGGGCTCAATGGACTTCTGCGCATGACAAAGGAATGTCCGAAACTTGGTTCCTGCAGGAAAAGCTCCCTCAGCACTGCAATAGTGTAGGAGGAAGCCTCAGCCTTCTCCATCAACTCATTAATGGCAGAAGGTGTCAGAACGTCTAATTCACATATGGTCTCGCCAGAATTACCCTCCAAGTGCTGGAACAAATAAACAGCGAACTGCTTCAAGCTGATCTGCTTCTTCCTCTTCGCTTGAGTGGTAACCTTAATCAGAGAGGTGTGATAATGGCAGGTAAGATCCCAAAGAGTATTGTACATATCAGGGGTATCATTCTTCAGCCACTCCAATTGCTGATTCGAGGGAAAGTACTCCTGGTATGGACAATCCCCCATTGGAAGGCCAGAAACTTGGTGCATCTCATGCAAGGTCAACCCTAACTCTCCGCCGCTAGTCAAGAATGTATTACTATCAGGGATGTATGTCTCTAACAATGCTAAGAAGTGGCAACAGCTGACCGGGAGTCCGTACATAGTGGCTCGTATAGGTGCGTACAACCCACTGCTCTTCAGATCATTCTCCCAACGTCCCAACACATAACTGGTCATACGCGTCCACCATCCTTTGGGTTGCGAGAAAGCCCAACCAAAACATCTGAAATCTGGTGGAGGTAACCTCCTCCCAAGCTTAGCCAAATGATTCTTCAAGACCCATAATCCCTGGTCGAAGCCCGCGAATATAATGATACCTAACGGAACCAGGAGTCTTATGTTGGGAGGTGTATCCACAATGAACTCGATCAGCATCTTTGGTAAGATGCCAGGACATCTGTCGCTCTACGGCCTGTCCCTTTAAATGAGTGAAAGAATGCTGACGAGGAATGGAAGGAATATACAGGAGGGCTCCTTCATCATTATTCAGCTAATGTTCATCAGTAAGAATCAACTTAGCCGGATCCTCAATGTGATCTCCGAACAGAAAACTGGGCTTCTTTAAAACCTGAGTAGAAGTAGAGTCTGCAGTAAAAGGAGCATCCGTGATCAGCTGGCGTAAGCAATGACGTCCCCCATCTCGTATCAAACTGCAAGACTCATCGGAACGATCTCTATCAAACGGAGGAAGCGGACCAATAGCCTGCCTGACGAAAACCGAAGAGAAAACCTCCCCATTACAACCGGTAGTAGCATGAGGAGAGAGACTGCCCGTGGGGAACTCGACTGCAACAAAACAAGGATAGAGTCAGAAAATTATCCATGAATTAAATCTATCTCATAAAAGAGCGAGATAAGATCATCCACGGGGTAATTGGAGAGACGATTTTGAGTGTCTTACACTGGAAGAACGGTATGCATCATCACGTAAATAACGTGGTAACATACACCGACCTACAAAGTGTAAGATGACACAAAATCGCCCCAATATACCGGAAGACTTGAATTGGCTAAGCAAAACAAGTCCGAAACCTTGACCCCCGTGATGGAGGGTGTCGGCCCTTCCCGAATGACCCGCGAAGGGGCCAGACGAGGGTGTGACAGCACTGCGAATTTCCCGAAACCTCGACCCCCGCGAAGGAGGGTGTCGGTCCTTCCCGAATGACCCGCGAAGGGGCCAAACGAGGGTATACTGGAACCACGAATATCCTGAAACCTCGATCCCCGTGAAGGAGGATGTCGGTTCTTCCTGAATGACCCGCGAAGGGATCAATCAGGGATATACAAAGTATAAATGCTCACCCCCGAAAAAGGATGCCGCTGGAGAGGATGCCGTGGGAACCTCTCCCTCGCTATGCTGCGAAAGGGAGCGACTCCTATGAAGTCGAGGTCGACGCGGAGACATCGAGAATCTGCAATGAAAATCAGCAGGTCAGGTACAATCTAAAATATGAATACACGAAATTTAAAAGGAAAATTAAGAACTTGAACTAAAGTCCTATAAAATAAGTAGGATTTTATAGTTGAAGTCTAATTAAACCTACAAATTTTGTGCATACAAAACAGTGATTGTCATTTTGCAGCGTAAGCCCTCATAATAAATTTTGGTGAAATACCCAAAATACCCCTCGTGTCCAAGGCTAAATTCGGGTCAAGGACACGCTCGAATTGGATCATGGTCATCATGTTTGTTCATCTAACACCCCCAATATCCTACAATTTTGGTTAATTTTACAAATAAACCCTTTTGTAAAATTTAGCTAATTTTGCAAATAAACCCCTCCACAAATTTCGGTTTAGTTTTCGCATACCTTTCTCAAAACTTTAGTCATGGGTTTGTGGTCTAAACTTTTAGAATTTCAGCCCTAAAATTTCAGCCCTAAAATTTCAGTCCTTTTGCAAATATACCCTTCTACAAGTTTTGAATTGCTTTTTGCAAATAAACCCCTCAAACAATGTCGATTCTTTTGCATAAAAGCACCTTTCAAATTCGGCCAAATGGGGGTAAAATTTCAGTCCTATATGTCAACCCACTTTGCATAAAAACCCACAAATTTCAGTCCACTTTTGCACAAAAGCCCCTTAATTTCGGCCATATTACATTTTTTGCATAAGACCCCCCAAAAGCTTTGTGCATACACAACCCATCATCAAAGAGCCTATCTTCTAACTCATGAGAACAAAAAGCTATGATCTTTGCATACAAATTCGTGGCATACCCTCATTACAAGCATAAAGTTTCAATCTTTATCAAAAAATGAAAGAGTTTTTGGAGGAGAAGCTTACCCAAATCAAGAGGCCTCCCTTGAGCTTGAGGATGAAAAAAAAAAACCCTAGCTTTGAGGAGAAAAGAATTTCAGCCAAGGAGGGAGCACCAAAATCCGAATTTTTTGTATGGAGTTTAAGGGGTTTTAAAGAGAAGAATTTTAATGGGTTTGGAGTTCTTAGAGGGAAACAATGGTGGATGGATAAGAGGTGGAAGAAGAGAGAGAGTTTGAGTGGCCGAGACACCCAAGGGTGTCTCGGCCAAGGTTGAGACACCCTCGGGTGTCTCAACCCAGTTCGAGCCCCCCGAATCCTTTTTGAAGTCCGATTTCGCCCGTTTTCGTCGTTTGTTTGGATGTTTCAACAAAATCAACACTAATCAACATACGACGGTTCGAAACCCTAGGGTCAACGCCGGTCAACGCGTAACCCTAGGTCAACGCTAGTCAACGCGTTGCGATCAAAAATCAACGTACGACGGTTCGAAACCCTAGGGTCAACGCCGGTCAACGCGTAACCCTAGGTCAACGCCAGTCAACGCGTTGCAATCAAAAGTCAACGTACGACGGTTCGAAACCCTAGGGTCAACGTCGGTCAACGTGTAACCCTAGGTCAACGGCAGTCAACACGTTGCAATCAAAAGTCAACGTACGACGCTCGAAACCCTAGGGTCAACGCCGGTCAACGCGTAACCCTAGGTCAACGCCAGTCAACGCGTTGTAATCAAAAGTCAACGTACGACGGTTCGAATATTTCGACGAAATCCATACTAATCAATACCGAGCAATTCAAAACCCTAGGGTCAACGCCGGTCAACGCGTAACCCTAGGTCAACGCCAGTCAACGCGTTGCGATCAAAAATCAACGTACGATGGTTCGAAACCCTAGGGTCAACGCCGGTCAACGCGTAACCCTAGGTCAACGTCAGTCAACGCGTTGCGATCAGAAAGTCAACGTACGACGCTCGAAACCCTAGGGTCAACGCCGGTCAACGCGTAACCCTAGGTCAACGCCAGTCAACGCGTTGCGATCAAAAATCAACGTACGATGGTTCGAAACCCTAGGGTCAACGCCGGTCAACGCGTAACCCTAGGTCAACGTCAGTCAACGCGTTGCGATCAGAAAGTCAACGTACGACGCTCGAAACCCTAGGGTCAACGCCGGTCAACGCGTAACTCTAGGTCAACGCCAGTCAACGCGTTGCAATCAAAAAGTCAACTCAATGACACGAGCCAAACTCAACTCATCAGTTGTAGATTTGAGACTTCGACGACGGCCAGACGATAAACGCAGTGCCGGAAGGATTTTAGCTATTCATCAAAACATCGAGTAGACTGAAAATCAAAGGAGTCAAGAATCGAAGCTAACTACAGGTCCTTTACGCCAACTGAAGGTGTGACTAATCACATCCAACGCATTCCAGCCTCTTCTACAAAAGAAACGAGTCTGGAACGCTTTGGAGGGGGTATCTGTAGGCATCAAAAATTACCTATAGGTCTCCACGAACAGCTCAGTGTTAAGAAATAACGATGAACGTCATCATCTGGTTCACAGAAGCTTGATTGATGTCGGTGAACGCTTGAAGTAAACCGACGAACTACGTGAAACAACGGAACTTCGGAATGATGAAGATATGAACCGATCGAGAACCTCGTACCGTTCACAAACGGTGAAATACCCTTCATGTCTCATTTATTCCGCAGATGATTTAATCAATTGGAGCTTATAGAACTCCCCGTCGGCTTTCCAACGCACTTTGAATCACTCAAATTAAGAAGAGCAATTATCTCGCTGTTGTCGAGATAGGCGCTTCTGCTTCTAGATTCCTTCGCGAATCGACGAAGTTCTGGACCTGATCTGATTTCCAGGTAGTCCACGGATATCTACGTCCCCGTCACCGGCTAAAGACCCACGCAAGCAAGAAACGACGAACGGATCTTGTGTTATTTTCGAAAAGTTGTAATCTTTCATCTTTCTTATTCTTTTTATTGAAAATTTTGAATTCTTTGTAAGCAATCCAGATTATAATGAGTTCATCATCTTTCTTATTCTTTTTATTGAAAATTTTGAATTCTTTGTAAGCAATCCAGATTATAATGAGTTCAACAATGAAGGCAACTTTTACCGAAAACAAACAACACTGGGGTGCGGTCAAGTGGCTTCTACGCTACTTGAGAAGCTCGTCCGACCATTGTCTTGAGTATGGCGGAACAGATTTACAGCTAGAGGGCTTTTGTGACGCAGACTATGCCGGGGACATAGATTTGAGAAGGAGTACAAGCGGCTACATCTTCATCTTGGGTGGTGGAGCGATAAGTTAGAGATCCAAGTTACAGGATACTGTGGCTTTGTCGACAACCGAAGCCGAGTACGTGTCTGCAGCAGAGGCAGCAAAAGAGTTGCTATGGTTGAAGGCTTTTCTTCTCGAGCTTGGAGTAAGCTTTGAGAAATACTTCATCCACTGCGACAGTCAGAGTGTCATTCACTTGTCAGAGAACGACACATTCCATGCTCGGACCATGCATGTTAACGTGAAGCACCATGTCATACGGAGATGACAAAGCAGGAACGAGTTCAAGCTTGTGAAGATTGATACGAGGTACAATCCAGCCGATATGCTGACCAAGTCAGTTCCGCTCGAGAAGGTGAGGCTGTGTGCAGCCTCATATGGCCTCCGTTGAGAATGTTAAAGGCCGTGCAAAACGCCAAAGATACAAGACATCCGGATGATGCAACCAAGAAGGGTGTGAAGATATGATTGATACTCAATCAAATCTTTAAGTGGGAGATTGTTAGCTGCAGCTCCAGCCCACCTTATTTGACAAATGAGCCAATTTTGTTGACTAACAAAATTCGGTGGCTTGACAGATTTGAAGAATGAAAAAGGTGGTGGGTCCCACAAATATTTTATTATTAGTGACGGGTCACATTGATAATATTTTATTTATGCATAGTGTTTCCCAAACACTATAAATAGGGCCCTAAACTCTTAAGGAAATCTCATCCCAGAAACAACTCCTCTCATAGAAGAGTAAGAGAGAAAACACAGAGAGAGATTGTGAGAGTTCTTGGAGTGTATCTGATCAAGAGAGAGTGTTCTCTTTGATCTATTCTTTTGGGATAAAAAAGAATTTGGCGTCGTCGTTGCACCGTGGAGTAGCTCCGAAGGAGTGAACCACGTATAACTGTGAGTACTCTGGTTGATCTTGTGCCTTTATTTTGTGTATTGCGTCTCCGTTAAAGGCGTTCTTATTGGGGTGTATCCTAACAGGTTTGGCATTTTCTACATTTATTAGTACCAAAAGGGGGAAACTTAAAATAAAGAGAAATGAGTATTAACTCCCAAGCAATCAACTTCACATCTGTGTGTTACCGATATTTATTGGTACAAGTAAATTAAGAACCAAACCAAAAACCACATAAAACTTCTGTTTAAAATCCTATAGTCGACGTAGGGTAACATGAGCTCCATGCTGTGGCTGGAGAGTTATCACAGTATATGGGGCATGTGAATACGAAGGTGAGAGCTCAAAGGAGAAGTTCTGTAGAATAATAGCTAGAGCCATTTTTGCTTCAATCATGGCGAAACTCTGTCCTAAACATATCCTCGGTCCCCATCCGAAGGGATAGAATGCATTTTGACCCCTTTTAGTTGCCTTCGATATCCCTTCTGAAAACCTCTCGGGGTTAAATTCCTCTGCATCATCACCCCATAATTCTCGATCATGGTGCATGAGTAATATAGGAAGACCGAAATCTACACCAGCAGGGAAGCAAAACTCTCCTAGCTTTGTTTCCTTGTAAGTATGGCGTAATAGAAAGGTAACAGGGGGGTATAGTCTTAAAACTTCATGAAATATCATGGTTACCTACATTCAAATTCAGAAAACGCAGTAAGTCAATTTAATGTTGGTTGGAGTGCAAAAAACCATACCTTCAACTCTCATATCCTCAAAATTTTTGTGCAGCAGAATGAACTTAAGAACGAAAGGATGATAATTGAAAGTTATGGTTTTACCCTCTAACACGCGTTGCTGAAACTTGGGCTATTTTATAGCAGCAATACCTTTTCTAATTCTTCTTTACCTGACTAGATGGATTTGAATCTGGGCTTTTTGAAGTTCTTGGTATAGAGGAAGGGAATATTTAAGCTTAGTACGTATGTGTACTCACAATTTTAAGCTGGGTTATGGATTCCATATTCGGTGTATTATTCCCGCAGGTTTTCTGAACTTCTTCGCGAGCTCTCTGCTGCCAGACGGGATGCATCGACAGAAGAATCATTGTCCAGGTGAGCAACGTCGATGTTGTTTCTTGACCTGCAAAGTAGAACAGCTTGCATTCTTCAATCACATCTTCAATCTTGATTTCATACTTTTTATCGTCACCACTTGTGAACTGCAGGAGTAATCCTAGTAAATCTCCACTTTCTGATCCTTCAGTTTCAATGTATTTTAGCTTCTTATCTATCATCTCTCTTAAGATAGTCCTGATTTCTCTGTATATCCACATCCTCCTCCTGTTCTTTGCTGTTGGGATGAATCTGTAACAATCCAATACATGAAATTCTTACTAATTAGCAAGCTCCTAATGTTTGATAGTAATGCAAATACGGAGCTCACCTGTATCCTGGAATATAAGGTACACGGGCAGCTTCAATGGCCAGTTCAGCTTGTTCCTTCTGTAGTTCGAAAATCCTCTTCCCTTCTTCGTAGCTACTTCCGAAGGCAGTTCGTGAAATGACATCCCCCGTGAGATTTTGGAACTCAGGGCTAACATCAACCTCACAGGACCCTTGAGTACCAACTAACCCGTCCCATCTCTTTATCAAATCTTCGCAGCTAGTTGCAAAAGCTGGCACCATTCTCTGCGAAGAAAAATAACGGTAACTGACCGAGTTTATCAATTGAGACACATGAGACGTACATTTTGAATCGTGTAGACCTTTAGTTTCTCCAGATGGAAGGCTGGGGTAATTGTTCTCCTCCTCTTAGCCCACTCCTCGCCTTCGAGGCTCGCCACTCCCTGGGCCAGGATACTTATCAGAGGATTCGGTGGGGGTTTCCTGATCTGCCTGGATTTTTCTGAAAAGACCTCTTTCACCATCTCCGAATCCCATATCAGTACTCTGGGAGTCTTTCCTGCCCATATGATGCACATCTTGCCTGCAAAAGTTTTCTTGTTTCAGATACTACTGCTTTTCTCATGTATACCTACGCTAGCGCAGATCGAATGTGCCCATGTACACTTACTGGAAAAGTGATTATTATCCAGAGATTTTACCCAGACACATAAATTGCTAGCGTATTATGAAGAATTGCCAAGACATTCATTATAAGGAATAATTTCCTAGGCACAACATACTGTACCAGAGGGGTCTCCTCATCCTAATCAGGGTAGATTTCACAGAACCACCCAAAATTTTCTCACCAAACACCCAGAAGTTTTCCCCACTTCACCCGAAACTGCACAGTGTCTCAAACACCCCACAAATCTTTTTAACTTTTCACCCAGAAAAACTCCCAAAAAAGACTCTTGCCGTTAGAGGACTTGATTGTTACTTTCCCATTCCGTTCTTTCCTGGTTTTCGCTAGGGGGCCCGTCTTCTCTTACTCTTAGAAGCTTTCTATTGGAAAAATTAAAGCTTTTTGGAGGTTATTTGAGACTCTTTGAAGTTTAGGGGGTTAAGAGTGTTAAACGTGGAAAACACCCCAGAGTTTTGGAGGATATTTCCCCCCAATTAATAATTATTATCAATTGATTCCTAACTATATATCCTAGGATATATATAAGCTTGCTACTGAACCCCTTCAACCAAAAAAACTAGTTATCAATTGATTCCTAACTATATATTCGTAGGATATTTCCTCCCACTGTTTTCCACACTGTGCGCAAGCAGGTATGTTTCTCAGGACACAGTATCTAGTTTTTTTTTCAGTATACGTATAGCGAGCATAGGTACGTATGCATACCGTATTTTTGCACGGTCTGATGCATGAACGGTACGACCCTCGGCACGATTCGATGATGGAGCCCGTCCATGGGACGTGACCACGCTTCTCTGAATCCTCGCATCTCCTCTTTCATGTCACCATAGAGAACCCTGTAAGGATTGCCTTTGATGCCCTGTTGCCATAGGAGTTTCTCGAGCTTCTTGGGCTTCCACCATAGAGAGCGGTAGGCTCTGAAGGTGAGGTACAAGAAGAGCGCAGATAGCAAGGAAAATGCTGCTGCTGAAGGGAGAGGAAGGGGGGTTTCCATTTTGCTTCGCCTGCACCAGTGGTGAAGGATAAGGTGCGAGGCTGTGCAGGTTTTATATAGCTTTGAAGCTAAACACACAGTCATTTTCAACTCGTTGTCCAATGTAAAATGACGTCTTGGACCGTTCCTTGACTTTTGTGACACGAGACTGCTGGAAACGGTGCGCAAGTTTTTATCTTGGGGACCAAGTAGAGGAAGGGGGACTGAGAAGACTATGCCATGGAAGCTTCCCTTCCTTGGACTTCCTTGGTTGTGGTTGATAATAGATTAGAGCTCTTTGCAAATAAGCCCATTTGAGGCTTATATTTGCGTATGAATAGAGTTGGCTGTAGATAATTCTTATGCCAGTTATCGTTGAAGATCTGCCCCCTTTACTATGTGAGGGGCACGTAATCATTGGCGGAGCCAGAAATTTATTATAGTGGTTTCACGATGTATAAGGATGAAATTACGAATTTTTCTCTCATATTCAATGTAATTAGGAACTTTAATGAGATGTAAAAGGTATATTTAACTATGTACAACTACAACTGACCCCTACGTATATTTGACTATGGACAATTACAATTGACCCTTACGTCTCTTTATATTTTGAAAATATTGCATTATAGCCTCATTTAAAACACCACTAAATAAATTCTTTCCGATGTAAGTTACTAAGTTGTCGTTCATCCGCTAATCTCCCATTCAATTGCATAGATGAATCTTTACAACTTTCATTGCAAAAGACAATCTCTCCATGAAAGCCGTTGTCGTCGTTAATATCAATTCTAACTTCATATACTAGTTTAATTTTTTTGCTTTGACACCACCCTCTATTAGCTACCTCCGTCCCTGCAGGTACTTGTATCCGAAACTATTTTAGTAGCACTTACAGCCCCTTGTACTGCAGACATATTTATTCAGAAGTTAGGTTAAGATCTCAGTTGGGTACTCGTGATGGTAAATTGCTTTTTTTGCCCTTAGTATAACTGGAAAAAACTAAAAATTGCCTCTAAATCAGGGGCAAAATTGATTCAAGGGTATTGGTGCTAATAAAAAGTTTAGCTGTGTATATAAATGACTATACCGTCATAGAAAAGGGTGAAGCAGCGATTAACCTCTTTCTATTATTCGATTGGAAGATATCTAACGGCATTTTCCGTGGAAATTTTTATCTCATAGTGAAGCTTGTTTGTCCACAAGCATAGTAATAAGGCATATGGTTGCATATATTTGGTAGAAAGCATAGGTAGTATTTGAATCAAGCATTGGAATTGACTGCATAATTTTCATTGGAATTGACTCATGAATAGTTTTCTTAGTCCTTTAATGTCTGTTGCGTGTTTCTCCCAGACATCTTCTCTTGCTCCTGATGTTTGTGTGTTATTTTCTAGAATTGTGTCGGATTCATAGAAATGCTTTGCTGTATACAGGACAGCCTGAAGATAAAAGTAAGGTGATGGTTCAGGTTGTTTTTTGTTCCTTTTACGTAGCAGACGGCTTTACCTCGCTGTATAGTATAGTTGATTGAATAATGGGTACAGGACTCTGGTAAGTGCTGTTGAATTTAGGACCTTTTTCTTGAGGGTAGATTCTACAAAACCCTCTTTAAGTTTGGCCGTTTTTGAGATAGCCCGCTGAACTTTAGAAAGGTCACTTAATTCTCATCACCTAACCCACAGCTGTTAGACCTAATTGTGCACGAGAAAATCTGTCTCCAAATGACCAAAATGCCCCTCATAAAAATCCCTTTCTTATCCTTTTAACAACGTAAAAGGTCTTTTTTCTTGAGATTACCCTCTCTAGCCCTTTTCTTAACTTGATAGCAAGCGCCATGTATCTCGTACCGTTGGAGTATTCAAAGGAGGACAAGCGTACATATCAAAAATGATATAAGGTGGAAAGAGCATGCTCCATGTGAAATTCCCAAAAGTTTAGACCCACATCAGTGGGCGACTAAACAATTGAGTGATTTATAAGTGAAGTCATATGGTTCAAGTGTAGCATTGGCTAGTTGATTTTGACAGTAATTTGAGCCAAATAACGCGCTACACTCAGTAGGTAACAAGACTTAAACCGCCCCCAACGGACTAGTGGGCCCGGGGCGTGACATTCCACCCCCAACTGGCTAGTGGGCCCAGGGCATGACATTCCACAATCAATTTTATATCACTACAACAATTTGAGTACTGCAAACAAAATCCTAAATAAATTTTAAAATTTTTAGCGGCATGGTTCTGGTTCCTCCTGATATGCTCTATAGAATTTCTTTCCCCCATGAGAATCTGAGATTTGTTCGGATAGAAGGAAGAGAGATCAGAGAGTTATTAGACAGCAAAGTCAACGATCGATGCTCTTTGAAGAGAACTGACCTCGTCGGACGGCGACGGCGATCTCGTCGGAGACGGAGGCGAACAGCGACGGAGCAGAGTCGAGGAGGGCTTCGCAGACTTGGAGAGGGGAGCGGATCTCGCCTGCTGCATGGAGTTGAAACTCGCCTGTGGAGGGCTTCGCGGACGAGGAGAGGCGAGGGAGCTTGGTCACGGAGTTCGCCTGTGCGGGGAGATCGTCTGAAGGCGAGGTGGAGAGCTCGCCTGCGGGGCTTGAGCGGAGAGCTCGCCTGCAGGCTTGAGTGGGTATCTCGCCTGTGGGTGGAGAAATCGCATGATGGCGACCTCGCCTGTAGCGTGAGTGGGATTTGAGAGCTCACGTGCTCAGATCTCACCTGCTTGAGTGATCTGTCGACCTCGCCTGATATGCTCAATTTCGCCTGTCGGTTGGGAACAACTGGGATCTAGCTGGAGACCTAGGGTTTCCCTATAAAAAGGAAACCTTGCTCACGAGATGAGTTGAGCCCATCTTCAGTGATTTTAACAGAGAAAATTTTCTCTGTGGCGGCTGAGAACTTCTCAGGATTTTGAGAAGTGAATTTTTTCGGTAAAGAAAAAATTGCACAGGGCTCCTATAGTTTGCTACAATAGAGTGAGTTGAGTTGTTGTGAGACATCTCAAGTTTGAGATCTTCTCTTGTAACAAGCTTTGTAATTTCTTATGGTTAAATAAGAAATTAATTGTACGGCTTCCGTAAACGTAGGTAAGTTTGCCGAACCACGTATATCTGTTGTCTCGTCTCATTTACTTATTGTTTTTATTTGTGTATTCGTCATTGCTTGTATTGGTTAGTTTGAGTTGGCTTAAACTCGAGCTAGGATTGTTTTCTCTCAGAATTAATTAGCTTCTGCGGAGGTGTGGGTGTCTCGCGCTCCCAACAATTGGTATCAGAGCCCTTTATTCAGATTGGAGGTGGTAAAATTTTTGATCTGAGATGGTGCTTGATTATTATGTGGTGAACACAAGGTATTTGTTAAAATTCCTTAGAGAAGCGGATTTATTAATACAAACGGAGAATGGCGTCTATAAGTAAAACAGTAAAAATGGGAAAGTATGAGATCAAGAAATTTAATGGGAAGAATGATTTTTCTTATTGGAGGATGCAGATGAAAAACTAGCTGATCTCGTAGAAATTGCACAAGGCTTTGGCGGGAAAAGAGAAGTACAAGAATATGTCTGATGAAGATTGGGAGGAGCTGGATCTGGAAGCACGGGCGTCGATTATCCTCTGCCTTAAAAGGGATGTAGCTTTCTTAGTGGACGAGGAGGAAATAGTTACGGGCGTGTGGTTAAAGTTAGAGAGCACCTTCATGACGAAGAGTCTAACGAACCGGATCTATTTAAAATCGGGCGTGTGGTTAAAGTTAGAGAGCACCTTCATGACGAAGAGTCTAACGAACCGGATCTATTTAAAATCTAAATTGTATACTTGCAAGATGTCATGACGAAGAGTCTAACGAACCGGATCTATTTAAAATCTAAATTGTATACTTGCAAGATGGAGGAAGGCTCGTCAATTCGGGAGTACATCAACTAGTTCGATAGAATCTTATCGGATTTGAAAGACATTGAGGTGACAGTGGAAGACGAGGATCAGGCACTTCTACTACTTCTATCTCTGTCAAAGTCTTATGAGAATCTGGTTCAAACACTAATGCTTGTGGGTGACAGATTGTCAATGGATGAGACTAGAATGGCGCTTCTAGTAGATGATCTTCGAAAAATTGCAACTAGTGATATGGTCACTGGAGGTAACAAAGAACAAGCGCAGGGGTTCTTTGCCAGAGGAAGGGGCAATGAGCGAGGAAAAGGCAAGGGTGAAAAGTCTAGATCAAAATCAAGACCTCTTGCGGAAAGACCGTGTTTCAAATGCGGTGAGCTAGGGCATTTCAAAGTCAATTGTCCTAACAAGAGAGTAGGTGGGAAAAAGAACAACAACAAGAGTGAAAGATGAAAAAGCAAGGAAGAGGCGAGCTATGCTTCAGGGGAAGAGAGCGATAAGGAATGCTATGTCGTCACGGGTGGCGAGGATACCTCCGGGAAGTGGATACTTGATTTTGGTTGCTCTTACCACATGTGTCCAAATAGAAAGTGGTTCACTATCTACAGGAGCATTGATGGTGGAATCGTATTGATGGGGAACAACCATGCTTGTAAAACGGTGGGGCTTGACGATATCAAGATCAAGATGTATGATGGAGTGGTTCGAACCTTGACGGATGTAAGGCACATTCCTTACTTGCGGAAGAATCTTATCTCAGTTGGTGCTTTGGACTCTGGGGGTTGCAAGATTATAACAGAGAACTGAGTGAAGAGGGTTGTTCGGGGTTCCTTAGTAGCGATGAAGAACATTCATCACGGCAATCTATATACTCTCTTGGGTATGACGGTGACGGGAGATGTAGCTGTTGGAACTGATGGAAGTGGTGGAGACCCATGTAAGCACACATGGTTATGGTATAGGCGGCTTAGGCACATGTCAGAGAAGGATCTAGATCTGCTCGGTAAGGATGATTTGTTAAAGAATCTGAAGAAGCCTTGCATGGATTTTTGCGAGGACTGTGTGTATGGAAAGGCACATAGGGTCCGGTTTCTGACAAGCAAACACAAGAGAAATGAGATACTAGATTATGTGCACACGGATGTTTGGGGTTCGGCTTCGATAACTTCTAAGGGTGGTCCCAGATATTTTGTCTCATTCATAGTTTATCATTCGAGATATGCTTGGATTTATTTTCTGAAGCATAAGAATGAGGTATTTGAGACATTCAAGAAGTGAAAGGCAATGGTTGAGAACAGGACGAATAATAAATTGAAGACATTAAGATCTGACAACGGTACAGAGTATACAGACGGTGTTTTCAAGGAGTTCTGTGACCAGGAGGGTATTGCTCGACACTGGACAGTCAGGTCTACACCAGAGCAAAATAGGGTCGCGGAGAGGCTGAATCAAATACTACGGGAGAAAACAGTGAGTATGCGATCTTATGCTGATTTGGGCAAAGAATGGTGGGCAGAGTCGATTGCTACAGCTTGCTATATAGTGAATCGATCTCTACATTCAACATTGGATGGTGATACACCCTATCAGGTGTGGTCAGGGGAGCATGCAGATTACTATAGGCTCCGGATTTTCGGATGTACCGCCTACTATCACGTTAACGAGGGAAAGCTTAACGTGAGGGTCAAGAAGGCAATATTCTTAGGGTATGCAAAGGGTGTAAAAGGCTATCGTCTTTGGTGTACAAAAGATTCAAAGTTTGTGATTAGCAGGGACGTTACCTTTGATGAGAAGTCCATGATTGTTAGGGTGCCCAAGGATGATGGTGTTGAAACTGTTGGGAATTCTAAGTCCCAGGTTAGTGAGATAGAATCTAAAGACCAACCAGGTTCGAGTCGTGTTCAAGTGGGAAATCAGGTAGATGATGAGCTTGAGCAGGAGGAGGTTCAGCNACATGCATTACAACAACAGCAGCTCGAGGATAACTTAGCTTCCACTAGGCCAAGGTGAGCATACAAGCAGGTACAGAAGGTGGGGGCTGATCAACCCCTGAAACACTATGGGCATGTTAATTTGCTTGAGTACGTACTCTCGGTGGAGAAAGATGAGCCGGTCTCCTTTAAGGAATCTATTCGGGATAGAGATAGCAAGAGTTGGTTGGCTGTGATGGAGGAGGAGATGGAATCTCTCCGGAAGAACTAAACATGGGAGGTGGTCCCATTGCCCGTAGGAAAGAAAGCTATAGGTTGTAAGTGATTGTATAAAAGAAAGAAAGATCCTTCAGAGCTCGGTGGTACGAGGTACAAGACGAGGCTAGTGGCTAAGGGGTTTGCACATAGAGAAGGTGTGGATTATAATGAGATATTTTCTCCGGTGGTGAAACACACTTCTATTCGGGTACTATTGAGTATTGTTACTCATAGTAATCTTGAGCTGGAACAACTCGATGTCAAAACATCCTTCTTGCATGGAGACTTGGATGAAGAGATCTATATGCATCAACCTGAGGGCTACAAGGTTGAGGACAAGGAGAATCATGTGTGTCGCTTGAGGAAATCACTATATGGATTGAAGCAATCTTCTCGACAGTGGTACAAGCGATTTGACTCCTTCATGCTAAAGCATGGGTTCTCCAGAAGCGAGTATGACTATTGTGTCTATATTCGGAAGCTTTGTGAAGGTGATTATATCCATCTCCTTTTGTATGTAGATGACATGCTTATTTGCTTATAAGAGCAAGGTGAAGATAGATAGGCTAAAATCTCAACTTGGTAAAGAGTTCGAGATGAATGACAAGAGCGCTGCTAAGAAAATACTGGGTATAGAGATTAGGAGAGAGCGGGCGAATCGGCGATTGTTCTTGAGTCATAAGGGATACATAGAGCGGGTGATCGCGAGGTTCGGAATGCAAAATGCTAAGTCGGTGGTTACTCCATTGGCTCCACACTTCAGGCTCTCAGGTAAACAATCTCCCACTACAACGGAAGATAAGGCACACATGGAGCGTGTTCCTTATGCTAGTGCAGTTGGCAGTTTGATGTACGCCATGATGTGTACACGTCCAGATATTTCACAGGCGGTTAGTGTGGTCAGCAGGTTCATGGCGAATCCAGGAAAGGCGCACTGGGAAGCGGTGAAATGGGTCCTGAGGTACTTAAAAGGTACCGCGGATACGGGTCTGTGTTTTGGTGGAGATACATGTCAGATTGATGGATTTGTGGACTCAGATTATGTGGGCGATCTAGATAGACGGCGATCTACTGCTGGTTATGTATTCAGTATACATGGTGCTCCAGTTAGTTGACGATCGATGTTATAAGCTACAGTGGTACTTTCTACTACAGAGGCTGAGTACATGACCATGGTAGAGGGAGAGTGAAAGAAGCATTATGGCTGTGGGGTCTGTTAGACAAATTGGGGATTGAGAAGGATAATGTAAATTTGTGGTGCGATAGTCAGAGTGCGATTCACTTGGCTAAGAATCAAGTTCATTATGCTCGTACCAAGCATATCGACGTCAGGTATTATTTTGTGCGGGATGTCATAGAGGAAGGTGATATTTCTCTCATGAAGGTGCACACGAATGAGAATCCAGCAAACATGTTAACCAAGGTGGTGACAAGTAACAAGTTTTAACATTGCTTGGACTTGCTTCATATCAGCCCATGTTGATCTGCCCAAGAGGGCAATGGTAGAACTACAGTTAGCTTGATCCCGGTGGAGGATACGTAGGCAGTCGCGGTATAGTGGCGCAGCTGGTTTGGCCTGGTTTTGGCCTGTTTGGTATTCTCGGTGTTCTTCTGGTGTTCGTCCAAAATTTAAGGTTTATCAAATAATGGACGAGGTGGAAAATTGAAGAGAACTGACCTCGTCGGACGGTGACAGTGATCTCGTCGGAGACGGAGGCGAACAACGACGTAGCAGAGTCGAGGAGGGCTTCGCGGACGTAGAGAGGCGAGCGGATCTCGCCTGTTGCGTGGAGTCGAAACTCGCCTGCGGAGGGCTTCGCGGACGAGGAGAGGCAAGGGAGCTTGGTCACAGAGTTCGCTTGTGTGGGGAGATCGTCTGAAGGCGAGGTGGAGAGATCGCCTACGGGGTTAGAGTGGAGAGCTCGCCTGTAGGCTTGAGTGGGTATCTTACCTGCGGGTGGAGAAATCGCCTGATGGCGACTTCGCCTGTAGCGTGAGAGGGATTTGAGAGCTTGCGTGCTCAGATCTCGCCTGCTCGAGTGATTTGTCAACCTCGCCTGATATGCTTAATTTCACCTGTCGGTTGGGAACAGCTGGGATCCAGCTGGAGACCTAGGGTTTCCCTATAAAAGGGAAACCCTGCTCACGAGATGAGTTGAGCCCATCTTCAGCGATTTCAATAGAGAGAAAATTTTCTCTGTGACGGCTGAGAACTTCTCAGGATTTCGAGAAGTGAATTTTTTTGGTAAAGAAAAAATTGCACAGGGCTCCTGTAGTTTGCTACAGTAGAGTGAGTTGAGTTGTTGTGAGAGATCTCAAGTTTGAGATCTTCTCTTGTAACAAGCTTTGTAATTTCTTGTGGTTAAATAAGAAATTAATTGTGCGGCTCCCGTGGACGTAGGCAAGTTTGCCGAACCATATATATCTGTTGTCTCGTCTCCTTTACTTATTGTTTTTATTTGTGTATTCGTCATTGCTTGTATTGGTTAGTTTGAGTTGGCTTAAACTCAAGCTAGGATTGTTTTCTCTCGAAATTAATTAGCTTCCGCGGCGGTGTGGGTGTCTCGCGCCCCAACACTCTTGTATTTCCTTAGTTATGGTAGAAAACCTCTGATATATGTCAGGAGGTAAGGGATGATTGTGGCTACTTTTCCATGTTGATGCTGCGCGTTCGTATCAAGTGCCTGTAATTTTCATCTCTACTGACTCTAAATTATAGAATATTGGGTAAATTACAGAACATCCCCTCTAAGGTTTACGTGATTGATAGAAATTTCTGTAAGGTTTTAAAAGCGGCACCTCACCTCGTACTCGATTTCTAGTTAGTTCCAATTGCATGTCGCACCTCACGAAGGCCAAACATAAACAGCAGCAGTTCCTTATTTTTCTTTCCCACTTTGCCCTTCTACAAGGTAGTCAATCGGAATATCTAGTTATTCGTTTGTAAACACGATTGATAAATATGCATTTCTAAACCTCTTTCCCCCAAGTTTTGTGCACATCCATTGTGTAGAGAATTTGAATTATCTTCAGTTTCATCAGTGGCAATTGTACGTAATTCCAGGAATTTCTTTCCCCCTTCTTTTTTTTATTTACAAATTGAGAAGTCAGGCTTGTCTAAATAGGAGCAGTGTTAACCCTTTACTTTGAGGAACTCATTTTAGCCCCTCTGGAGTTGTTACTTAACTCCTTTACTCTGTGTTTTTCGTTTCTTGGTAAATTGTGAAGAGTAAACCAACTTTATTCACCGTGTTGTTTGTTTTGTTTGTGGTGGCGCCTGTGGTTAAATTTTAAAAATACAGATATATAATAGCAAAAACTGATCAAAAAATTGAAGTGCGGTAATTTAAAATTTTCCAACTTAGCTGTTGTGCGTTTGTAAAACGCTGTGCTTAAAGCATTATTTAGCCTACTCCGGTGCAAGGATCCCAAGGCCAAATTGTTTCTAGGAACAACAGTCCAGTACTCTGGTGTGCACCAACCCAGTACTGTCAAGATCTCCTCGATCTATAAGGCAAAGATCTCCTCGATCTATCAGGCAAAGATCTCCTCGATCTATAAGACAAAGATCTCCACGATCTATCAGGCAAAGATCTCCTCAATCTATCAGGCAAAGATCTCATCGATCTATAAGACATTCTCGGTCTAGGCATTGTTCCTACGAGCACTAGCTATTCTACAACATATATATCTGTATATATTGATTGTTGTTTTTTGAATGAATTTTCCTTAAGGATTTAGAGTCTATTTATAATGTTTGGGTAAATACTATGCACTAACAAAATATTATTAGTTACTATTCATGTGGGGCCCACATTACTTGTTTTTCAAAAGAAATTAGGCAAATGTTGAAACTTTGCAAAACTTTATTGATTTTCAGCAAAGTTTTTGCCACGTTTTTCTTTCAGCTCTTTCAAACGTCAAAGTTAGGCTAATCATCACTTTTTTCTTAGGGGGTGTTAGTCAATTAGGACATTTTCATGCAAAATGAGATAATTGTTAAAGTGAAATAATTTTTTGTTGGTGGGATATTTTAGTGGGATAAATAGGAACAATTTTGTGAAGCAGGATATTTTGATAAAATAACGTGGGATAAATTTTTATAATCATGAAATATATATTTATGGATTTTAAATATATAAATATTATTTATGTATTTTAAACTTACTATTATTGATTGATAATTACTTACAAGAATGTTTTTTTACTATTAAATAACTTTTGTCTAGACTATAAGATATTGACAATTATTATTATAATGATAGTGATAACCATAATAGGAAAAAAGTAAAGAAAAAAAATATAAAATATAAAAAATAATAAAATAAATATGAATTCTGGTTTTTACCACCTAGTTCCAAGCTAAAACTTGGAATAATTTAAAAGACTAGAACTCTTATTTTTGTATAGAAAAATAAAAAATATGAGATAATTTTGTACCATTATCCCAACTCTAGTTTTGTTAGAGTTCTACTTGACTAACACTGTAAAATTTTGTTCTAGTTTTAGTTCTATGTGACTAACACCTTAAAATTTTATCCCACATATTATCCCAGTTTTAATTTTAAGTTCTAGGTGACTAACCCCCTTAGAAAACAAATTAGTGTAGGACCCACTTGTTTTAAAAAATTATCTAACAGTTTGCAACTTACACAGATATGGGCGGTGACTGCAGTCGCGCCCTTCTTCCGACTCAAGATAATATTAAATTATGACTGTGATTGGGTAAAATAGAAAGATCAAATGTCCTAAGATGCCTTTAGTGTCCATTGAGTTCTTAAGATCCAGTGACGCTTAAAATATAATTTCTTTTGTTTTTTCTTTTATTTACTCATTTATTTATTATCTGGAGAGAACAAGCAAAATGTGTACAGGTTGGTAACAAGGCCCTTGCTGCTTGGTTTATGTTTGAGATATTTTGTTGATGTCAACAGCTTCCTCCCTCACCTAACCCCCCGCCTAACCTAGCTACAGTAACTTACCAACCCTATTACTGATCAACCAACCCAAAACACTGTTCCACCAACCCTTTTGAATGCTATAAATAGAGGAGAGTGGTGAAGGGTTAGATCATCGAACATAGATCTTAGTAGCATAAAGAAAGAGAGAAAGAGAAAGAGAAAGAGAAAGAGAAAGAGAAAGAGAGAGAGTGCTTGAATTAGAGAGTATTGAGTTTGTACCACTAAAGAAATAATAACAATATATTTCATAGTGTCCACCACTCCTCTCAACTCAACAAGTGGTATCAGAGCCTGAATTAGGGTACGTGTATCTGCTTATTATATGCTATGTGGCTGCCACCAAAGATGGATCATCTATATCAGAAAATAAGTTAGATTATCATTTACCCTTTGAAGACACTAATTACTATTCACGAGTACGGTTACTGTTTATAAGTACAACTATTATTCATGTGAAATAGTAGAAGTTGTAGCTCGTGATAGAAGCAAGGCGGTCAGGGACCTGCTCTCTCCTATGGTGATCCTATCGATATTCTTGAAGGCTGAAGTTCATGTTCAGTCCGGGACTGTAAAGTTGGTTGGTCAGGGACCAGACTTGCGTGGTGATATTGAAGCAATACAACGTCGCGATGGCGAATTTGGCAAATACGACTACTACACTCAAGAAACTCAACGATAATACCTATTACTACTGGGAGACATGTATGAAGTCCTATTTACAAGGACAAGACCTCTGGGAAGTCATCGGGGGTGCTGAAATTATAACACTTCGGGAAGCTGGTGAAGCACTAAGAAAGTGCAACATCAAAGCCAACAAGGCTATGTATGTGCTGAAGACAACAGTAGAAGAAGATCTCATAGACTATATGCGAGATGCTAGAACGCCGAATGAGGCATGAGACACGCTTGCGATACTCTTCTCGAAAAAGAACGATGCTCGACTTCAACTCCTGGAGAATCAATTGATGACCTTACAATAGAAGGATCTGACAAACAGTTAGTACTTCAAGCAAGTAAAATCACTCTGTTAAGATATTGCTCAACTAGACTCAGATTCTAATGTATCTGATGTAAGGATAAGGAGAATAATCATCTACAGTTTGAGACCAGAATATCACGGACTCGTTGCTGCTACAAACGGGTGGCCGACTCAACCAACATTATTAGAGTTCACTACCACATTTTAGGCCTATGGGGACGGTTGTGAACCGTCACCCTAAGCATGGAAACCGTCACACTAGGCCTATTGGGACGGTTCTACATCCGTCTCGTTTGCAGCCGTGCCCGTAGGTCTAATGGGACAGTTTATGCTCCTAGTGCAACGATTTGTAAACCGTCCCAAACAGTACCATAAGGGAACGGTTGTGCTAAGGGGTCGGTTTTTAGTTTAGAGCAAGTGGAATGGTTGTATATCAAGGGGAACAGTTTTTAGGTTCTAAGCAACGGGTACGGTTTGATAGCAAGGGGAACGGTTTTTAGGTTCTAAGCAAAGGGAACAATTTGATAGCAAGGGGAACGGTTTCTATGGGGACGGTTTTTATACCAAGGGGGGCAGTTTCGAGCTTGACCTAAGAGGACAGTTATATTGTCTATGGGAACGGTTTTGTTTGTGATCTATGAGGATGATTTTTATACCAAAGGGGACGGTTTATATTTTTTACTGATCAAAACAAATCATCCAGATATCACACATCAGTCCATCACATACAAGAAATCACATACAAGAAACAATAGTTCAAGTTTTACACACAAAGTAACCAAACTTTAGCCTTAATATAATGAACAATTCATTATACAACGAACAACAATATTATAGCAATAGGATTGAGATAATTCTTCACAAGTTTTACACACAAACTAACCAAATTAAGCACATATCACAAATCCTCCATGATTAAAACAAAGAGCTACTACTTAATCAAAATGTCTCTATTGAGACGATTAGGTTCTAAATCTGCACAACAAATAAATCCCCAAAAGAGCGACAAACATGGATCTTCAGATGTTTTCCTGCATACATCAAGATAAAAAGATGAGTAAGCACAAGTAGAATGAAATGGACTGTATGTGTCTCTTTAGATTCATAACTTATTGCATGACGATCATATTTAGGAATATAATGAAATTATGAGTAAGCACAAGTAGAATAGAAGAGACACGGATGGTAGAAGGATAAAGGATTAAAACTTGCTGTAGAGTCTACAATTCAACGTTTGTCTGTAACTATATTGCATTCTAGCAGGACCAAAAGCTCGTTCCTGTTGAACGCCTTCCTTCAAAATGTGCATCTTACCACAGAACTCAGAGCTTGAATGTTTTAACACAATTATATCATGTTTCAAAAGAATGTTAAGACGTTTATCGATGTCTGTGATACGACTCTGACACTAACATATGAGATACAAATGAATTGAGCAAATTTTTATGGAAATAACTCATTTTTTATTAGCAAGTGAGAGGGAAACAGAGAAGCTGGGGAAGAAGAATGAATAGCAGGAGAAAGACTATCCCCCCATATATTCAGCTTGCAACAGGAAAAACCTCATAAATTTAAATAGGTAAATTGCACATAACCATCTTCATCTGTACATTGAGTTGCACAGATCCAACTCTACTCATTTATTAGGACATAATCTCCTCCAGTTCGTAATAAAAAAAGAGATGCCACTTTGCACTTGCAATATATCATACTGAAATATGGTATAAAAAGTGTTAATTGCTAATAAATGAGCAGAGGGGAATTTAGTGCATGTCCCCATAATGTCTAAAGAGAATTATTCATGAATCAAATATGAAGAGAGCTGGAAGGAAAAATATAGGAAAGGGGAAGAAGTTAAAGAGGCAATTTAATATTATGTACGTGTATGCTATCAGAAATCCTTTTAATCTGTCTACGCATATTTTTATGGTTCACAAACCAAGACAAGTTAATATACTGGACTCATTTTCCATTCAATTATAGCAGCTCTCACCTTAAACTTCTTGTTCACGTTCAGTCATATATGACTAGAGTACATGGACTTGAATGTGCAAGCAATCTGAACTGACATTAGCTTTCACAAATTATTGATGTCTAACGTGCAGTATTTTAAAACGCAAACTACTTTACGTCCAGGGACAAGGGAGAATTGGACCAGTTTAAGCAAACCTAGAACTCATCCTGGACTCTCTACCCATCTGATATTTTCATCATCAAACAGAGAAGTCATGGAAGACACTGCTAATTATTCAATTTTACTGTTAAATTTATAAAGATGGATCAGGAGGAGGCACAATAAAGTACATGGATCCACTGTTAACGTCCATACATGAGATAAAATTAAACACTTGCAGGATATTCTCAACATATCTCAGTATAAAAGTATAGCAAATACATCATAAAGTTACCTTTAGTTGGAGCTCTGAATAAGAAGAATCGACCATTCCAAAGTGGAATTCCTTGTATCATACCTGAAATTTACAAAACCAAACGCATGAAAAACTAAGAGAAATTTACCAATCCAAATCAAGTTGTCATAATACACAAAAAAGAAAAAGAAAGATATAACAAAAGAAAAAACTACCTCATTTCGTGGCTGATGGCTGCTTGCAGATGAGCGAGGATGATCATGATTTCGAGCACTACCACCTTGCTCAGGTGATCTTGTGCGTGCAATAAGTCTTGCAATAGCCGTCGGATCAATTGTTTGCCCAAGAGTTTCAGTCAAGAGCTCGGCGAAACCATGAACCAAATCTGCCTTCTGCTCTTCAAACTTTTTTGTCAACTCTTGCTCAACTTTTTGTGATATACTTCGAACAACAGATTCTGGAACTTGCTCAGAGGAATCCATGATCTTTTTATTTTTATTTTGGAGCATGGTTTTAGTGACACCCCTCCCCCTAAGACGTACACGTCCAGGATGTTCATCTTTCTTGACTAAATCCCATGCATCATCAGCTTCATCTTGAGATTTGAGTTCTTCTAAAGCACCCTGCATTAGCAAAATTTATATTTAGTTGCTATGCATGTTATATGAAAATTAGGACCTAAAAAGCAATACATGAATACTAATATTTAGGGAATATGACACATACTATCAATTTGATTGTTTTCTCTCCTTGTGGATTTATCTTCTTTTTACGGGTCTCAATAAGCATTTCAGCTTCACTTGGAGGTCTTCCCAACTCATTTTCCTATAATAAAGACAATTAAAAATCAACCCAACTTACCTCAAATGATCTCTTCTGTTTTGAAGAGGCTGACACAGAATTTTTTTCCGCTTCCATATTTTTGTTTGTTCCCTGGTAACTCCAAGGACAAAAGATACATCAGAACGCATATTCGTGCACAATGCATGAAAGTTCTTGATGAATTGTAGGGAATGCATATTCCCTGGTAACTCAAATGATCTTTTTCTTTTTCTTTTTCTTTTTTGATAGAAAAGTGTGCCTTTTTGTTGCAAAACCAAACAGTCAGATATAAGAAACCTAATGAATATGAATTATCCTATAAGAGAATATTGCTAACTACGCTATTCCATATATCAAGATGTGAGGTTCTCTCCAGATCATATAAGTTGACACGGATGCTTTATCTTATGTGGCGTAGTTCAGCATAAGGAGTGCAGTTTTATCATTTAGCTTAGCATGAAGTTGCTTCATATAATTAACCTCCATTTGATGAGAACCCTCCATTAATTTGATGAGAAAAACACCTACATAAATGATGACACGAGTTAATTTGAATGAGGAAAACTCACAAGAATCAACAAATGTTGCAGCAACTAATACTTGCTATAGATCAGAGTTCTCTGACCACATGAAAGTGCAACAGTACAGAACTCAAAACAGTTAACGACGTAACTTACTCATATGCTGACATACTGAAATGACTTCACATGAAAGGTGTGCTTATGTATGTAATACATAGTTTACTAGTGAACCCCAAATTAATAAAATGGCTTGGATCTTTGCTTGATGCAACGGAAGACTTGACAAATTCTATATAACAATATCAAATGTTGCAGTATGGTGATAGTGCAATAAATGTTGAACAAAAAATTAGACTTTTCAGAACAGTCTCATTATTTTCTTTATTTTTGATTGGTTTTGACCTTGGAATTTTTGTAAATTTCTATGCTTTCATATCTTATCCTTATCTGTACACTGTTTGTCATCTACCCCTTACATACTCGAGCCATAAAGAAACTTGGGAGCTCTAAATTTTCAATAAATTTGATTTTCCTCCCTTATATACTCAAGCAATAAAGAAACTTGGGAGCTCTAAATTTTCAATAAAATTTGATTTTCCTCCCTGCATATTGCAACTTTAGAGGCTATTCTTCTTGTATCTGGTAATTTGTTCCTAGTGATATTTTTGTTAGTGACTGCAATTTGTCGCATTGGTCAAATTGAATCTGTTTTAAGGAAGTTTGTGACATTGGTTAGCCTGTGTTGGTTTTGTTCCCTGTAGGAAAAACCAATTATATTTTGATTTTTTTTTCTTGTGGAATAGATTTTGTGTTTAAATAGTTATGTCGCAGACACAACCTTTTGTTCTTATGTCCTTTAGTAATTTCGACGTCATGAAAATTTTCCTCTATACTTTTACCTTCAAAAATATTTGATTATTGAAATCATGCTTCAATCATGCAATGGGATTCACTTGTTTTGATTGAGCTTCAAAAGTTTATTTGAATTATTGCTGTTTATTTATGCATAACCCTAGTTTGTGGAACAAACTCCAATTCATTGGTTGATATGCAATTGATAATAGGTGATATCTGCTATTTTAGTTTTTGTTTCTGTTAGATTGAAAATCTTTATCAGGAATTTTTAGACCATGTTTTTTTTCTTTCCATGTTTTGACTTTATAGTTATTCTTATACTTTCCTGGTCCTGAATGTTCACTTTGATGCGTTATCGGTTTTCATCATCAGTAGTTTACTGGATTGCTATACTTAACGTCATTCTAACATGGAAGTGTAGAGTTCATTTGCACTTTTTTATCTGTTAGGATAAATATTGTTAGCTTCATAACCCTTTTTTTTTCTTTTTCTAATGCCATATTAGATCATTTTATAATCTGAAACCATTAACCATGATTGCTTCCATATTGAAGTCTTAGTTGCTAATAGAAATTTGATACATGTTGCTCATTGATGGGCCATTGACCCTCACGACAGAGGATTCCTGGCCTCATTAACACAATTTATAATCCTATTTATGCATTTTTAGCACTCAGATACTGTTGGAAATCCACAGTCAAGTAATCTTAAATCATAATTGTGTTGTTTTATCAAATGTGAATCGTAGACTATAAAGGAATTAAGGTGGTGATTATCTCTGTGATATCTGTCACTACGTGTTCAGCAACTTGATGTTCGTTGTGAAACAAAGTCTAAGGTTGGCTGCTTTATCTTCATCTTTTATGATTTTTAATGCATTTGTTTGTTATTATGTCATTTAAAGTTGAAGTACTAATGTAGTGATGCATCAAGTTGCATTTGATTTGTGAGAAGTTACCTTTACAGACATAATTTGACTTTTATTGATTACAGTAAAGGCTAATAGGCTATATGCAAAATTCTGCAATTTGTGCCAGACTGATATCTATGTGTGTTGATATCAACACATAGATATGCAACACAAAACTTGGTACCAATGCCAGACACATAGATATCAACACATAGATATGCAACAGAGGATCCGGCCGCACTCTACTAAACTACCACTTCATAAAAAAATGAGGTTATCTTCTCGTATTTTATATAGTTATACATGTAAGGGATCATATCTAAATGGATTAGGTGCAGTCCTAAGATAGCATATAACCCTTAATTATCACATAAAAATTATTAATCATCACAAAACCTACCACTTCATAAAAAAAATACTCCAACATCATTATTCGGCTAGTGAGCCCACTGTAGATACCAATAAAGTAAAAAAAACAAACAGAATGATCAACCGAAGGCTATAGCGAAGAGCATAAACAGAATAAATAGAGAAAATAAATTAATTTAAACAAAAATTAAAAACATATACCAATTCAATTTTGCGGATTAACCTTGTCCAGTAAGGATGTAGAATTTTCAACCACTTTCAATGATCAACCAAAACAACAAAGCCCTAATTTGTAAAATCAAATAAAATTTTCATTAAATAGAGAAAAAGAAAAAAAATTGAAACCCTAGGTTTGATGACTGAAAAGGAGAGAGATATACCCCAAATCACAAGATGATAGAGAGGGGATAGCGACGAGAGGCGTGGCTGACATGGGAGGCGCGGCGAACTGACGAAGTCAAGGTGGCCGGCGGCGGACGGAGGAGTCGACGAGAGGAAAAACGAGAGCGGCGGACGAGGGAGTCGACGAGAGGAGTGGCGGACGGCGGACGCGGTTCTGAGAGGAGTCGACGAGAGGAGAGGAGTGGCGGACGGCGGACGCGGTTCTGAGAGGAGTCGATGAGAGGAGAGGAATGGCGGACGGTGGACGAGGTTCTGAGAGGAGTTGACGAGATTTAGAAAACCCTAGAACTATCGGGTGAACAAATTTTAGATTTATCGGGTGGTGATCAGGAGCGGTTCTTAGAAACAAATATATTTCCTTGAAAAAGTTTGCGCGCGAGCCCTTAATAAAACCGTCCCATTAGCCTACCAAAGTTTTTTTTAGGTCTAATTCAAGCCCAACACTTTATTTTGAACTGTTGCCTTAGACTCTTTCGTGACGATTGTAACCGTCACACAACCGTTCCCTTAGGAAGCAAAGGAGACGGTTTTGAACCGTCCCCAAATAACCGTCCCCATATATCTATTTTGTGGTAGTGGTTGGAGAGTTTGCTGACTACATAGGAAACCCTAGCCAAACAAATGGCTGATGTTTCAATAAAAAGCAAAGATGAAGCACTCTTTAGAAGCAATGAGAGAGGAAAACCAAGAGGCGCGAGGAAAGATGAGTATGGAAAGGTTGGTTCAAGGAGGTAGCCAGGACGACCATACACTGATAGAACACAACAGCGTGAGGAGCAACGTGATCGTATAGCAAGGAGATATGAGAATAGCTTCTATAACTATGGGAAGAGAGGACACTTTGCCAGAGACTGTCGCTACAAGAGAAGGCCTGCAGAGGGCAATGCTGAAACATCACGCAGATGTCAAGATGATGAAGAAGAATGGGATGCCCAAGCATCCGTGGCCATTATTGAAGATGTACTAGTCGACGAAGACGAGGTTGTTGGTATGTCACTAACCTCGATTGTAGAAGAATCTGAGTCCGCATTTGCAACGGTTTCAAATCGAGTAGAAATCAGCTATAATAAAGATTGGATCGTTGATTCTGGCTGTTCCAACCACATAACGGGAGATAAGGGGAAACTTGTCAACATGAAGGAATAAAAAGGCGGCCGAGAAGTTGTGATAGCGAATAATTCAAGATTACCTATCACACACATCGGAAAGACTGCATTTACACCGCACTACTACCCAAATTGGATAAAAGTACAAGATGTATACCATGTACCGAATATGAAAAAGAATCTTCTATCTATTTTCCAATTAATAGCTTTAGAAAACTATGTAGTATTTAGGCCACAAGGTGTAAAAGTCTATCAAAAATTGAAGACACTAAGAGAACCTGTCATGGAGAGATGGAAGGTAGAATATATCTATGTAATGTCGGCAGAATCAGCATACATAGACAAAGCTAAAAGAATGATACGACTAATTTGTGGCATGGTCGGCTTGGCCATGTGAGCTATCACAAGCTCAAGATCATGATGGAGAAGTCAATGTTGAAGGGTCTTCCACACTTGGATATTCGTGGAGGGACCGTATGCGGAGATTGTCAGTACAGTAAGGCGCATCAATTACTGTATTAGGAGTCACAGTTTAGAGCCAAGGAACCTTTGGAGCTTGTACACTCAGATGTATTTGGTCGAGTAAAACAAGAATCAATCGGTGGGATGTGGTAGATGATCACTTTTATCAACAATTACTTGAGGTATGTCTGGTTGATTTTATGAAGGAAAAGTCTGAAGAACTCTCCAAATTCAAGCAATTTCGAGAAGAAGTCAAAGGAGAACTCGGCAAGAAGATTCGTTGCCTATGCACAAACAACCGGGGAGAGTACATATCGATGAAGTTTTATGACTACCTGAAGCAGCACAAGATTCAGCAATAGCTAATGTGCCCAACTACTCCACAGCAGAATGGCTTAGCCAAAAGAAAAAATCGTCACCTCGCTGAACTTTGCAGAAACATACTTCATGCCAAGAACATACCAGGACATTTTTGGGTGGAGTGTATGAAAATAGCGGCACAAGTGATCAATCGGCTACCACAACCAAAACTAGAGTTCATGTCACCATTTCAAAAGTTGTGGAATACTAACCCAACCGTAAGTCATTTTAGAGTTTTTGGTTGTGTATGTTATGTCTTTATGCTTGATCACTTACATAGCAAGTTCTATAAAAAGGCTGTAAGATGTATATTTGTGGGGTATGACAATAAAAGAAAATGATGGAGATGTTGTGATCCCACAACCAGACGATGCTACACATCAAGGAATGCTGTGTTTGACGAAGCCTCATCTTGGTAGGCTTCACAAGAAGTTGCACTCCCAGATTCTAGTGATCTAGAGGATCAGTTGCAGAAGAAGCTGGGGGAGCCAGGTCAAGAAGAAGGACTACAACAATTAGAGAAGATAGAACCACATTCTCCAATGTCTCCGAGATAAGAATCCATGAAAAATTGGTGTTCATCAGATAATATAAAAAGAGGAGTGCTCGAGCCAGATAGAGAATATCAAAGAAGAACCAATTAAACAACTTCGAAGATCAACCAGACCCAAGAAGCCGAATCCCAAGTATGCTAATGTGGCCATTATGATAGATGTGAAGGAGCCATCTACCTTTAAAGAAGCATACAAGAGTAAAGAATGGAAACAAGCAGTGAGAGAGGAAATCCAAGCATTGAAAAGGAAGTTAGAATTCTTGGACTCATGGATAGAGAAGTCACTGTTGAGGGGGAGTGTTGATGTCAGCAGCTTCCTCCCCCACCTAACCCCCACCTAACCTAGCTACAGTAACTCACCAACCCTATTACTATTCCACCAGTCTAAAACACTGCTCCACCAACCCTTTTGAAGGCTATAAATATAAGAGAGTGGTGAAGGGTTAGATCATCGAACAGATATCCTAGTAGCAGAAAGAAAGAGAGAGAGAGAGAGAGAGAGAGAGAGAGAGAGAGAGAGAGAGAGAGAGAGAGAGAGAGAGTGCTTGAATTAGAGAGTATTGAGTTTGTACCACTAAAGAAATAATAACAATATATTTTTTAGTGTCAACCACTCCTCTCAACTCAACATATTTGCTCTCAAGTTTGCATGAAACTCGTACAAGTTCGCAACAGAGGCCTATTTGAAAGGGTGGTATACTTCTTTTGTTCACTAGGATCTGGCAATATTTAGTTGAGATAATGCGAATATCCAATAGCACCTACTGTATACTTGAAGTATTTGATCGTGCGATAATTCAATATGCGATAATTCAATATGACAATATCTCTTATGGGTTTTACCCAATGGAATGGTCTCGAATTTCCTTTGACTAATTAACTTGAGACCTAGAAGGGATTAAAGTGGGGCCATGTATGGAAGGGCAAAATGAGTGGGGAAGAGCCCCGTTGTAAGTTGTTGGGTTTAAAAGTTAATCATTGGGGTATTTTGGGCGTACAAGTCATTTTGAAAGTTGTTGGGTTTAAAAATATATGAGGGTAAAAGTTTGGATGTACGGGCCAAAAGGAGAGTTGCCAAAGGAGAGTTTTTTTTTTAAAAAGACCATTTTAAAAAAATAATTAGCAAAAACGGTCATTTTGCTAAGTAATTAGTAAAATCAACCTTTTTTTTGCCCAGCTCATCAAAACTGATCAAGAAGAGGTTGATTTTGCAAAATGTGGTCTTGAAAACATACGGGACTACTAGTTCCATGTGTTTAGCGTTCGCTAATTAGCCATAAATACAATACAGAAAACATACGGGACTGGTAGTCTCGTGTGTTAATGGCGTTCTCAACGATCAAATTCATGAAGCTCCCCTTTCGCAGGTCCTTCAACCCTCTCTACTCCCGCTTCCGCTGCTGCCTCCTCTCCTCCTCATCCTCCCCCTCCCCTCCTCCACTGGCATCGTTAACCAAAATCCTAATCCTAGAACTTCTCATTGCTCGAAACCCCCATCCACCCCCTAGTTCAGTCCCCCACCCCTCTTCACTAGCTTAGGAGAAGCCTAAGCCCTCAACCTCCATCAAGCGCATCGTCCACAGGCCACGAACCCTAGAGTTAGGGCTCGAGGAAGAAGAGGAATTGAACCAGCTAAATCCTTTGAATGGAGAAGAGAGATTGGGGGCATTGTTGGAACGGAGCTGGAATTGGTTGGATCAATCGCCGGCGTTGGTTCCGTTGCTGTGGGAAAGGAAAGAGGGGTTTTATCACGCCCCGCTTTCTAAAATACCCGGGATTCGGAACGTGAACGAGCCCGCGATGTATTAAATTAAGGAGAATAAATAAAAATAAACATTTCTCCTTAACCTAATACGCTAAGCGTCAAGAAATAAATGCAAAGGTACAGGTCCACGATCACACATAGTAAGAATATAATGAACAACTCAGAAAGAAAAACAAATATATCATAAATAGAATATATCATCCGAGACACAGAGTTTGGGTCAAACATGCCCTTATTACAAAACAGTCCAAATAAGTACTAAAGAAATATAAAAATACATCATTCAACAGGAATAGAAAGGAAGTACTACAAAAAATAAACTAAGGACCATCAAATAACTAAGGAAATAGCTAAGCTTTAACTCGTTCTTCTGCTCCGTCTGTAAGACACTCCCACTAAGAATCCTCTGGCTCCTGTACGATTCCGAACTGAGGTTGTCTGTCTCCTAAATCTGACGTACACCAGAGAAAATAGGTGTACATCAGCGTTCATGGCACACGACAAGATCCCGCATGGGAGAAATGAAACGGTCGAATGACCAAGGTAAAAACAATAATAATAAATAGAAGCATGCAGCTGGAATACTAAAAAAAACTAGATGAAATCCACCAATAGTATATAATAATCAAAGAATCCAAAAATCAATCGGGTGATGAGGTCATGCAGCTAGCAATCAGAATAATCATCCAAGTAACAAGGTCATACAACTAGATGAAGATAGTATAATAAGACCACAGAGAGTGATGAAGATAGTATTAAAGGGAAATTAGGAGGGAGAGCTTCCATTTAGCTTCTCTTGCACAGGTGAATTTGTGAAGGATAAGGTAGGAGATGATGATGCACTTATAGTGTATATACATAAGACTCATTTCAACTGTTCCTCCAACAGAAACTGAAGTCCTGGAGTATTCTCTTCACTGATGCAAGCTGCTAGAAATGATTGGCAATGTTTATCTTGGGACCTAGTACAGGAAGAAAGGCTGAAAAGACAATGCTACGGAAACTTCTCTTTCTTGGATTTCCTAGGTTGGCTGATTAAACAGATAAGAGCTCTTCTTGCAAATAGGCCCATTCGAGATTTATGCTTGCCTATGAAGTGAACCTTGTAAACAGATAAGAGCTCTTCTTGCAAATAGGCCCATTCGAGATTTATGCTTGCCTATGAAGTGAACCTTGGTTGTGGAATGATTCATTAGATTCAAATAGGCCCATTCGAGATTTATGCTTGCCTATGAAGTGAACCTTGGTTGTGGAATGATTCATTAGATTCATTCATTAGACCAATCCTGTTATTTGTTTGATAGTCATTTATTATCCTTAAAACCTTTTTATTTGCGTTTAGATCCTCTGATGCCCCTCCTGACACGGTTCCCTTATTTTTTATGTTTTTCGTCCAGATGCATAAGATTTGATATTCAGGTAGAAAGCATAGTTACTATTTGAATAAAGCATTGCACTTGGGCTGCAGAATTGTCTTAGTCCAATTTATTGTCTGTTGCATGTTTCTCATGGACATCTTCCCTTGTTATTGATGTCTATCTGCTATTTACTAGGATTATGTCAGACTCAGAATCATAAAAGCACTGTGCCATATTTATACAATTTACGAGACCTATGAAAGATTAGAGTATCACTTCGATATTTAAATCATCGTTCTATATAAGTTATATCCAGTTGCATGGTAGATGAGTCTTTTGCGCGTTGTGGTTATTTGGATCATGGTTACAGGACTTTGTGAGTTTTGTGGGACTTGGTTCTTTTTCTTGATCATGAATCCCTTATGGTTGGAGAGGTAGATTAAAAATAAAAAAAAACCACATGGAGGGCACTCTGTAGAATATCATATAGAGAGGAAGGAGAAGGCGATACGTGTGTTAATATCAATTTTAAAAATAAAAAAAAACCACATGGAGGGCACTCTGTAGAATATCATATAGAGAGGAAGGAGAAGGCGATACGTGTGTTAATATCAATTTTAAAAAAATAAAAAAACCACAAGAAGGGTTACAGGACTTTGTGAGTTTTGTGGGACTTGGTTCTTTTTCTTGATCATGAATCCCTTATGTGTTAATATCAAGTTTAAAAATAAAAAAAAACCACATGGAGGGCACTCTGTAGAATATCATATAGAGAGGAAGGAGAAGGCGATACGTGTGTTAATATCAATTTTAAAAATAAAAAAAAACCACATGGAGGGCACTCTGTAGAATATCATATAGAGAGGAAGGAGAAGGCGATACGTGTGTTAATATCAATTTTAAATTAGTGCAAACAGTATCAAACTTTTTTGGAGTATGGGATCTCGTGATTTTCACTTGTGCAGTAGAAATGAGAAACCTGTAATATGTCTACAATTGTTGGAAGATTCAGTAATGATTGTTATGCTGTGTCCAAAGTTGACACCATTCTATGGTTCTTTTATGCCTCTAGCATTAGAAAAACAAAATCTTGGAGTTATGCAATTAGTTTCAATGTTGTGTTCACATTTGCCTCACCTTATGAAGGGAAAATGTAAGCTGCATTTTCTTCCTCTTCTAAACTATGCTGCACTTCTGCAGAATATTCCCCTTGCATATCTAATCATCCATTGATGAAGAGAGGAGGATCGGTAAATATGCATCATATTTAATTTCTTTCTTGAGCTTTATGCACACATATTCTGTGGATAAAGCATGTTCATGGGCTTATGCAGTTGCTATTTTTATTTTCTTGTGTTATGATTCTGCATATCTGCTGCTTGTTTCTGAAAGCAGAATATTTCAATTTTCATGTTATGAAGATTACTTGCATGATATAAATTTGAAAATGATCAGCTAGAGAGCAAAATGGAATGCACTTCAACTAGGCAGGGATGGAATGAATTCATATGCATATTATTTGTCATTATAATTTTTGATAAAGTGGATCATACAGAAAAAAAAACTAGATATGGGCATCAAGTGCTGTTTGCTGACAGTGGCTAATCACTGAGGCAGAGGCTAATATCACAACACAGGTATCGACGATATCTGACACCTTGTTAGAAGAGATCCAGGATCTTGCATGACATCTCTCTCTCCATAAGTATATTTCAGAATGTCCCAATATTTGCAATTTTGAATTTCTGCTCATGTGACAGTTCCTTCTAATGAAAATTTTTGCTATACTTCTGCAATCTAAACATCATGATGCCTTTGGAGACCTTGTGACCTCCTAGTCTTAGATTCAAATGTAAACAAGTAGACCTTGTGATCGTGTTCATAAATTTAGGTATACGACGATGAGAATCTGGTTTTGCATTTTCTGCATTTATTAGTACCAAAAGGGGGAAACTTAAAATAAAGAGAAATGAGTATTAACTCCCAAGCAATCAGCTTCACATCTGTGTGTTACCGATATTTATTGGTACAAGTAAAGTAAGGACCTAACCAAAAACCACATAAAATCTTCTGTTTAAAATCTATAGTCGACGTAGGGTAACATGAGCTCCATGTTGTGGCTGGAGAGTTATCACAGTATATGGGGCATGCGAATAAGAAGGTGAGAGCTCAAAGGAGAAGTGCTGTAGAATAATAGCTAGAGCCATCTTTGCTTCAATCATGGCGAAACTCTGTCCTAAACATATCCTCGGTCCCCATCCGAAGGGATAGAATGCATTTTGACCCCCTTTAGTTGCCTTTGATATCCCTTCTGAAAACCTCTCGGGGTTAAATTCCTCTGCATCGTCACCCCATAATTCTCGATCATGGTGTATGAGTAATATAGGAAGACCAAAATCTACACCAGCAGGGAAGCAAAACTCTCCTAGCTTTGTTTCCTTGTAAGCATGGCGTACTAGAAAAGTAATAGGTGGGTATAGTCTTAAAACTTCATGAAGTATCATGGTTACCTACATTCAAATTCAGAAAAAACGCAGTAAGTCAATTTAATGTTGGTTGGAGTGCAAAAAACCATACCTTCAACTCTCATATCCTCAAAATTTTTATGCAGCGGAATGAACTTAAGAACGAAAGGATGATAATTGAAAGCTATGGTTTTACCCTCTAACACGCGTTGCTGAAACTTGGGCTATTTTACAGCAGCAATATCTTTTCTAATTCTTCTTTACCTGACTAGATGGATTTGAACCTGGGCTTTTTGAAGTTCTGGGTATAGAGGAAGGGAATATTTAAGCTTAGTACGTATGTGTACTCACAATTTTAAGCTCGTTTATGGATTCCATATTCGGTGTATTCTTCCCGCAGGTTTTCTGAACTTCTTCGCGAGCTCTCTGCTGCCAGACGGGATGCAACGACAAAAGAATCATTGTCCAGGTGAGCAACGTCGATGTTGTCTCTTGACCTGCAAAATAGAACAACTTGCATTCTTCAATCACATCTTCAATCTTGATTTCATACTTTTTATCGTCACCACTTGTGGACTGCAGGAGTAATCCTAGTAAATCTCCACTTTCTGATCCTTCAGTTTCAATGTATTTTAGCTTCTTATCTATCATCTCTCTTAAGATAGTCCTGATTTCTCTGTATATCCACATCCTTCTTCTGTTCTTTGCTGTTGGGATGAATCTGTAGCAATCCAATACATGAAATTCTTACTAATTAATAAAAGCTCCTAATTGTTTGATAGCAATGCAGATACGGAGCTCACCTGTATCCTGGAATATAAGGTACACGGGCAGCTTCAATGGCCAGTTCAGCTTGTTCCTTTTGTAGTTCGAAAATCCTCTTCCCTTCTTCGAAGCTACTTCCGAAGGCAGTTCGTGAAATGACATCCCCCGTGAGATTTTGGAACTCAGGGCTTACATCAACTTCACAGGACCCTTGAGTGCCAACTAACCCGTCCCATATCTTTATCAAATCTTTGCAGCTAGTTGCAAAAGCTGGCACCATCCTCTGCAAAGGAAAAATAATGGTAAACTGACCGAGATATCAGTCCACAGACACGAGGCGTGCATTTTGAATCGTGCAAACCTTCAGTTTCTCCAGATGGAAGGCTGGCGTAATTGTTTTCCTCCTCTTAGCCCATTCCTCGCCTTCGAGGCTCGCCACCCCCTGGGCCAGGATACTTATCAGAGGATTAAGCGGGGGTTTTCTGATCTGATTGGTTTTTTCTGAAAAGACCTCTTTCACCATCTCCGAATCCCATATCAGTACCCTGGGAACCTTTCCTGCCCATATGGTGCACATCTTGCCTGCAAAAGTTTTCATGTTTCAGATGCTGCTGCTTTTCTCATGTATACCCGCACTAGCGGAGATCGAATGTGCCAATGTACACTACTGGAAAGGTGATCATTATCCACAGATTTTACCCAGACACATAAATTATGAAGAATTGCCAAGACATTCATTATAAGGAATAATTTCCTAGGCACGGCATGCATACGATACCAAAGGGGGTGATCTCATCCTAATCAGGGTAAATTTCACGGAACCACCCAAAATTTTGGGGTGCTCCGCACAGTACCCCCCTGAATTTTATTTTTCTCACTAAACACCCAGAAGTTTTCCCCCTATATCACCCGAAACTTCACAGTGTCTCAAACACCCAACAACTCTTTTAACTTTTTCCCAGAAAAGACTCGCGCCCTTGGAGGACTTGATGTTTATGTTCCCATCCTGTTCTTTCCTTGTTTTCGCTAGAGCCCGTCTTCTCTTACTTTTAGAGGCTCTCTTGGAAAGATTAAAAGTTTTTTGAGGTTATTTGAGACTCTTCGAAGTTTATGGGGTCTGGCGGAAAAGTTTTAAGAGTGTTAAGTGTCAAAGTTTTTGGAGGCTGTTATAAAATTTACCCTAATAATTATTATCAACTGATTTCTAACTATATATCCTAGGATATAAGCTTGCTACTAAAAACCCCTTCAACCAGAAAGTAAAAGTAGGGAATAATACCCTCCCACTGTTTTTCACACTGTGCGCTGCAGGTATGTTTCTTAGTAGGATGGTGTATATCTAGTTTTTCAGTACACGTATAGCGAGCATATATAGGTACGCACGCATACCGTATTTTTGCACCATCTGATGCGTGAATGGTACGACTCTTGGTACGATTCGATGATCGAGTTCGTCCATGGGATGTGACCATGCTTCTCTGATTCCTCGTTTCTCCTCTTTCATGTCCCCATAGAGAACCCTGTAAGGATTGCCTTTGATGCCTTGTTGCCGTAGGAGTTTCTCGAGCTTCTTGGGCTTCCACCATAGAGAGTAGCAGGCTCTGAATGTGAGGTACAAGAAGAGCGCAGAGAGCAAAGAAAATACTACTGAAGGTAGAGGAAGGGGAGTTCCCATTTTGCTTCGCCTGCACCAATGGTGAAGGATATGGTGCGAGGCTAGGCTGTGCTGGATCAATTTATAGCTTTGAAGCTAAACATATGAGTAGTTTTCAACTTGCTGTCCAATATTGTAAAATGAAGTCTTGGACCGTTTCTTGACTTTTGTGGCACGAGACCGCTAAGAAACGGTGGGCTATTTTTAGGACAAATTTTAGAAACAATCTTATTTGGACTTTTATTTACAAAGAACGACTCATTTCAAACTTATTTTTAAAATATGACATTGGCGCTAAAACCATGTCGGTTTTTGAAAAAATTTTCTCGAAACTTCACGGGAGTTGAACTCCTGTGAAGTTTAGCACATTTTTAAACTTCACGGGAGTTCAACTCCCGTGAAGTTTAATTTCTTCAAAAAACTTCACGGGAGTTGAACTCCCGGGAAGTTTTATTGGCTGAACAAACTTCACGGGAGTTCAACTCCCGTGAAGTCTGTAAAACTCCACGGGAGTTCAACTCCCGTGGAGTTACAGACGAATTTTCCAGAGGATCGATCTCTGGAAAATTTAGCTTGTAACTCCACGGGAGTTGAACTCCCGTGGAGTTTTGGCCACGCCTATATAAGGCGCGAACCCGTGACCCACAGCCTCACACCGATAAGTCCCCTTCCCAAACCAAAACACTAACCCTTTCTCTCTCGTAATTCTTTGTTCATATGATGGGAAGATTAACTATCTCGAAAATAATATGCCCGTTTATGAAGGAGGTGCGACCAGACTGTTGTTTATAACAAAATTGTGTGCTTTTGATGAATTGGTTAATGAATTACACAAACTTATATTAACCAATTCACGTGAGTGTCACCTTAATGTTATTTGCAATTATCTTGTTGTGGGGAACAGAACAAGCGGCATTCAAATATCAAGTGACTATGATATGAGTCTCATTGGAATGTTACATGATGAGAAGCGTTCGGTCGAATTGTTCATTGAAAAACATCAGAGAAATTTGGGAAACCATAATTTTACCCAAATTTTAGGAAACCATCAATTTTAGGAAACCATAATTTCAGGAAACCATAATTTTACCCAAATTTTAGGAAACCATAATTTTAGGAAACCATAATTTTAGGAAACCATAATTTTACCCAAATTTTAGGAAACACCATAATTTTAGGAAACCATAATTTTACCCAAATTTTAGGAAATCATAATTTTAGGAAACCATAATTTTAGAAAACCATAATTTTACCCAAATTCATATATCGATGTCATACATATGTAGTAACACTAACTTTTATATTGTTGATAATTTCTCCTCTAAATTCACAAAATTATTTAATTTTTCTTCACAAAATTAATAAACAATTCACAAATAATTTCTAAAATCTAATTTTTTTTACATGTAATCACCATGAAATAGTGAGAATATACAAGAAATTAGTAGAAATTTTTTTAGAAGATTTTACCTTCAATTTGTCGATGCCCTAATTTCCAGTGAACTCCGAAGACAACAGCGGCGAGAGCGATAAACTCTGGTGGGATGGGGACTAGCGGCGTTGGGGACGAGAGAGAGAGGGTTAGGGTTTTGGTTTGGGAAGGGGAGTTATCGGTTGAGGCTATGGGTCACGGGTCTGCGCCTTATATAAGCGTGGCCCAAACTCCACGGGAGTTCAACTCTTGTGGATTTACATGCTAAATTTTTCAGAGATCGATCCTCTGGAAAATCCGCCTGTAACTCCACGGGAGTTGAACTCCCGTGGAGTTTTACAGACTGAACTCCTGTGAAGTTTGTTCAGCCAACAAAACTTCACGGGAGTTCAACTCCCGTGAAGTTTTTTGAAGAAATTAAACTTCACAGGAGTTGAACTCCCGTGAAGTTAAAAAATCTGCTAAACTTCACGGGAGTTCAACTCTCGTGAAGTTTCGAATTTTTTTTTTAAAAACCGACCTGGTTTCAGTGCCAGGGCTGAAACCATGTAGGTTTTTGAAAGTAAGTTTGAAATGGGTCGTTTTTTGCAAATAAAAATCCAAATATGACTGTTTCAAAAATTTGTCCGCAATTTTTATCTTGGGGACCATGTAGAGGAAGGGGGACTGAGAAGACTATGCCATGGAAGCTTCCCTTCCTTGGACTTCCTTGGCGGTGGCTGATAATAGATTAGAGCTCTTTGCAAATAAGCCCATTTGAGGCTTATATTTGCGTATGAATAGAGACTTGAAGAGTTGTCTGTAGATTGTTCTTATGCCAGTTACAGTTAAAGATCTGTCCCCCTTTACTATGAGGAGCACGTACTCGGTGGCGGAGCCAGAATTTATTATAGTGGTTTCACGATGTATAAGGATGAAGTTACAAATTTTTCTCTCATATTCAATATAATTAGATGTAAAAGATATATTTAACTATGTACAATTACAACAGACCTCTACGTATATTTGACTATGTACAATTACAATTGATCCTTACGTCTCTTTATATTTTGAAAAAAATGCATTATAGTCTCATTTAAAATACCACTAAATACATTCTTTCCGATATAAGTTATTAAGTTGTTTTTCATCCACTAATCTCCCATTCAAGTGCATATATTAATCTGAAGAGAATGTCGGTGGATCTCACCTGAGAACGGAGGCGAACAACGGCGTGGACCTCGCTTGCGGGTCTGGAGGAGATCGCCTAAAGCGGGCGCTGGAGCAGAGCTCGCCTGTAGGCGAGGGCGAGCTTGCCTGACGGGCTTGAATCGAGGGAGCATGGAGCTCGGGGCGTGGAGGCGAGATCAAACTCGCCTGATGAACGAGAGCTCGCCTGCGGGCGAGGAAGTTCAGAATGCTCTCTTAATGAGGACTTGCGTGAATGGGAGCCAGCTGGAACCAGCTGTGCCATGCCCTAGGGTTTCCCTATAAAAGGGAAACCCTGTTCTCCAGATCTCCCAGGAGCGAAGCCTTTATTTCTCAGAGGAGTTCCTGTGGCAGCGGCTGAACTTCTCAAGGGTTTTGAGAAGTTAATTTTTGGTTAAGAAAATTTAGCTGAGCGGTGTTTTAAGAAGAGAAATTGAGCGGTTATTTTAGATTAAAATCACACGCGATATTTTGAGAGATCTCAACTTTGGGATCTTCTCTATTTCAAGCTTTGTAATTTCTTGTGGTTAAATAAGAAATTATTTGTGTAGCTCCCGTGGACTTAGGCAAGTTTTTCGAACCACGTAAATCTGTTGTCTCGTCTCATTTACTTACTGTTTTATCTGTGTATTCGTTATTCCTTGTGATTGGTTGGTTTTGAGTTTAGCTTAAACTCAAGCTTGGGTTGTTTTCTCTCGGGATTATTTAGCTTCCGCGGCAGTGTGGGCGTCTCACGACCTCCAACAATTGGTATCAGAGTCCTTTTATTCAGATTGGAGGTGGTAAAATTTCTGATCTGAGGTAGTGTTTGCTTACTGTGTGGTGAACACAAGGTATTTGTTAGAATTCCTAAGAGAAGCGGATTTATTAATATAAGTGGAGAATGGCGTCTACAAGTAAAACAGTTAAAGTGAGAAAGTATGAGATTGAGAAATTCAATGGGAAAAATGATTTTTCCTATTAGATGATGCAGATGAAAAGTTCATTAATTTTGCAGAAATTGCACAAAACTTTGGCTGTAAAAGAGAAGAAGCACAAGGATATGTCTGATTAGGATTGGGAGGAGCTGGATCAGGAAGCACGGGCGTCGATTATCCTTTATCTTGAAAGGGATGTAGCTTTCTTGGTAGGTGGAGAGGAAATGGTTGCGGGCGTATGGTTAAAGTTAGAGAGCACCTTCATAACGAAGAGTCTAACTAACCAGATCTATTTAAAATTCAAATTGTTTACTTGCAAGATGGAGGGGGGCTCATCAATCCGAGAATACATTAACAAGTTCGATAGGATAATATCGGATTTGAAGGACATCGATGTGACCGTAGAAGATGAGGATCAAGCTCTTCTACTACTTCTAAATCTGTCGAAACCCTATGAGAACCTGGTGCAAACACCAATGCTTGTGGGAGAAAATTTGACGATGGATAAGACAAGAACGACGCTTCTAGTGGATGATCTTAAGAA